ACTCCCTATCCACCTCTCCGGCTCGGCTTCCCCGCGTCTAAACCGCTGCGTGGGTCGATCGCCGTCAGCGGGTCTGCTGAGCACACAGAGGACGCCGCGTCGGTCATTAGCCTGATGATTTTTTAATGGCCGTCTGATTGGACTCCGCCAGGAATGACGTGCCCTTGACTTGTTCCGCGGGATTGCGACCCCCCCTCCCTCCCCCCCCGATCCAGCACAGCCCGCCGCGTAGGAGCGCTCCGACGTCACTGTGGGGCCCAACATGAGACGTCGTCCCCGAGCGCGTCGCTGTTTGTGCCCGTCGTCCGCGCCGCCGCCGATGACTCCAGGGAACGCGTGCGCGTCTCGCTCCACTAGCACGTCCGTGCCTGTGAGGGAGATGCGGCCTGACGCGCTGCCCGCTCTCCTTCCTCTGGGTGTCAGTCACGTCGAAGGCCCGACCCCCTCCCACTCCCCCCCCCGGGCGAGAGGCCTCGCTGGGAGGAGGACTGCTGAGTGTGCTCTTTACTGGAGGTCGAAGTGCTGCGTGGGTGGAAGTGGCAGAGCTCCTGACACCCCTCCCCCCCCCCTTCCTCACCCTCACCAACCCCCCCGCTGGGTGACAAGAGGGGCCGACCATCAGGAGATTGGTGTCCCTATGACTTATGGCTGGTTGGTGATCTCTTATTTTGTTTTGTCCTCGTGGAGCCTTCGGCTGGAAGCGATTTATTGAGGATTTTTGTATTGGGGCTCTTTGGGGCTGTTGGTTTATCAAAGCACACAATCTGTACACACAATGTCTCGTCTTGGTTAACTTCATCGCGTCATTTTAATATGACGCCGAGTCATAGGCGTGCCCATTTGATCATCTCCATTACAACTGAACAAACTGCATCCAAGAAATGTCCTTACATTTACCCAAATAACGGGGGAACATTTCTTTGTTTGTCGTTACGGGCGAGTCTACTAAGCCGCGGTGGACAGACTTTTAAAATGGAGACTGCGACCCAAACTTTAGTAAATCCACGTGGGCCGTCTAGTGCGAAGGTGTGGGAGGGAAAAGGGCATTCTCACCAGTTAAGTCAAATCAGAAAGAGGGATTTCATTGTTGGACTCTGTCTGGCTAAAGTCCAAGAGCCGGGCCTCTGCATACCAGCGACCCTGACATTGTGGAGCTGGCTGAGGCTTCACAGCTTACTTTTATATCACCAGCTTTGATTGGGACGTTGACTGTGCTCGACCTGCACATCTGAGTTTCAAAGTTTGAAACTTTTCATCTCAATTAAAGTATTACCATCAGGCTGATCAGGACCTTTTTTTTTTTACTTTTTAGGTGCTTTAGTTAACGTGTTGGGTAATGTGATGTGTGAATGCTCTAATGGGGACACATATTTGTCAAACAATAGATTGCTAGATACAGTTGGTGTCGGTTGTGACCTTTCCGAGTAACCATGACGATCACTTAGAACTCAGTCGCCGGCCCAATCTGTATGGTTTTGAATGAGAAGAACAAGCTGTGAAAAAATAAAAATTTGATTAGGAAGTCGTCAAACTGTTCAGATGTGTTAATCAAACTATTGTTAAACACGGCAGTCTGCAGTGTGAATGGCATAAAAACTGTTTTACTCATTCTATTCTATTGTTCTATAGCAGAACTTTTTTTTTTAATAACATGGTTGCTGCATTAAAACGCATTACATTTATATTTTATAGGTGATATATTTGACTTTTATTGAATTAAAAGACATGAACCTTGAGTGCTGCAGCGTACCGTGCTAAAAGATTTGCTTCTGCGAGGCAAAAGAACCCCTTTTTGCACGTTGTGCTTCACAGACCTAAACCGGAGTGAGAGAGAGATTTTTGATGGATGGCGGTTTAAGTGACGCCTCTTGCTCAGTGCGTCTGTAATCTCCCACGCTGCGTGTTTGTCACAGGTCAGACCAGATATGAATAATGTATCGGGAGACGTCTGAGTGAGAGGCTGCTGAAAGGTGGCGCTCCCTCTAATGACAGCAAACAAGCTCCCTCCCTGACATTTGCAAGCAAAGGGGATGCGGCGTGAGAAGGCGACCGGGGGGGGGGGGGTAATGATGGACAAAGAGTGAGGGAGTTGGGAGGCGGTCTTTAATTGGAAAGTACTCTCTCAACTTGCTTGGCGACCGCGCGGTGTGGCAGGAAATCAAAAAAGAGGCTTTTTTCTTCACTGCTTGTTGTGACACTATCTGCTATTTGATTAAACATTTTTAATGATGAAAATAACGCATTTACCCACCAATTGAAATCCCTCTTACATTTATGTTTGCTGGAGAAGGTCTTTTGTTTAAAGGGGCCGATTCCCACATTATGGAATTGCAAGCTCTGAGCGCTTGATTGAAATTATTAAGCATTTAAACAATGAATTATGTTCTGTAATGTTAGTTTTCAGTAGATCGTTTCTGATTGGCTTTTAATCTTAAATCTGCTGGGTAGTAAGGCAGTATTTTTAGAGTGGAAAGTAGGCATGACTTTTATTAATCAGTCTCCAATAGCTTGTATTCCAGTCTAGTTTTGGGAGGCTCCTGCAAAACAAACATTTGCGAAGCAAACAACGGCGGTTGGATTTTAAAACCAAAAGTAGACGTTGTAATGAGCGGGTTGTCTTCTCGATGCAAGTGGGAAATCACAAAACATGAGGCTGATGTGTAGAAGTATGAACATAAATTTTGACTCTTGTTGGTTGAAAAGCCAAATGGGTGACGCAGATGATGATGTGGATGATAGAAAGAGATTGAGATATTTAGAACCCCTCCGTGTTTGCAAAAGCCAAAATGTTTCCACGCGCTGGATCGATAAGTTGGTTTGTAAATGTCTCGCTCTCCTCCACGCTGTGTTTTGTTGTTGTTCCGAGTTTCGCGCGGCTGCCGCTGCGTACTGATGACGTCACAGACAGGCAGACTGAATCCAGTAACGTTTAACGTGTCTAAAGTGCTAAAAAACAAACAAACACACATCCACACCGTTTTTGTGCTTAAATCCAATGTGCAGTTTCCAAGTATCGATACAATCGATTATGTACCATTTCAACCGATTTGTAATAGATATATGTCGTCTGGAATGCCGATTTGCGGAGCACAGATCGATTCAGTTGGATCGCAGGAATATAAATCGATTAATCGATTCAGTGGATGAATCGTTACACCCCTAGTGTGCATGCAAATAAATAGTGTATGTGCTTATAATGTCCCTTTGCAAGTTGAGTATTAGGACACAAAGACAGTGGTGAAATCTTTTGGAAACTCATTCAGAGTCGGTAAGCATCATAATATTATATTTGAAATCCCTTGGATCAAATTTCCGGGCCCATTAATGATCGGCCATACAGTGGAATCCTGAAGAGGTAGAGGAATAGGAATGAAGGGATCAAGGCAATCAGACAGTTGTTTTGTTCAAAGTAATCATTGTGTAAATACAGCCGCCGTGAAACCTGAAATATATATATATAAATATATATGTACAATGTGTTCCTTTTATTGATTTGACTCTGAGCTAACAATGTTTTGAATCTATTCATATTATTCATCCCGTTGGAGATAATCTATGACAGCGTTGTCCCGTGTGAATCTCGGAAGACGATGCAGATCATTATCGCTTAAGCAGCAGAACTTCCAGTCTGCAACTTACACTCGATCTGATTAAGGCTGCAGCGCTTTTGCCCTTGGGCGACTTCTGTAGCCTTGCAGGGGGAGAGATAACCCGATCTCCATTCCTCTCTTGCTCAGAGTCCAATTTAGCAGCTCAAAACTATGAATAAATCTAACACTTCCATAATTGAATTCTACAAACGGGCCAGATTTTTGAAGGTTACGACCAAATGCAAATCCGTTTTCCAGCTTTAACAATGAAAACTAATTTCCGCGATCTTAACGAGAAAATATGTTGTGCAGCATTGTGATTCCTACTCATTTATTACACCGTTTTTCAATAAATGCAATATCAGGTGCTGTCCTAAGATAAAATACAGATTCTACTTTCTTGCCCCTTTTTCTTTTGTTGTCTATTGTGCGTGTCCGGTCCTGCGAATGCAACCGTAAACACTGAAAAAGAAGAGATGTAATTACGGCTCACAGCTACATCACCCCCAGACAAACAAGGTTGATATTGATACTCGTCCTATTCGGCCTTCCAGAGACGCCCAGAATGATGTATTCCATTAATTGTTTGCAGGGTTACTTAGTATTTATTCGGCATAGTTTACCTAATTATTTCTCCGGACGTGTTTTGTCTTGTGCATAATTCTCCGTTCCACAGGGACGGTGTAGTGAGTGGGTGTGCTGAGAGAGCCGACTAATGGGGGGGAGATGGCACTGAATACCAATGCAGACCAGTCAGTCCTTGCAGAGACCAGACAATGTGTTTGTGTTTGTTGTGCGTGCGCGGGTTTGTGCGTGCTCGTGCGTGCCTGTGTGCGCAGACATTTGTTTTTTTTTGTGCATGATTGCACATCTCAAATGAGTGTGTGTGTGTGTGTGTTTTCTCTGTTTGCTGCTGTGTCCCCACTCGCATCCCGTCTGGATCGAAACCCTGCCCTTCCTGTGCTAAAATAAACCCACCTTGGGAAGTTGAGGACCTTGCACAGAGCGCTGACTGTTTACGCCTTCGGATTTTTCTCGTATGGTGCAGCATGCGTGTAGTCTCTGACTTTGTGCAACGCAAACTGAAAATCAAGAACTTTACTACTTGTGTGCTCTTTCACCCCTTTTCTGTTGTAATCCGGTAAATTTCCCCTCTGCGGGACTAATGAAGGATTATCTTCTCTTATCTATTCAGAATGTATTATAGATGTACGCCTCTTGGTTGAGATCAAGAATAATGACAAATAACGATCATGTGATAAATAAGAAATAACATTATTTTTGTTATATAAGAAATATGTATGTGTATATTTGTGTATATATGAAATGATGCTTTTTCACATGATAACATTTTCCACCTTAAGCTTTTTGTCTTGTCTTTCTCCCCCCTTTCCCTTCTACCACCTCCAGCTCATAGTGGAGAAGACCACAGACTTCCCCTCTGCTGAGTTCTCCCTGGTGGAGGATGTGGCTCTGCACTTCACCTGTTTGATGGACAGGCTGAACGAGCAGCGCCTCTTCCAGCCCGACCTGTGCGACGTCGACATCGTTCTGGTGCGTCAGCACAGCACCTTTCCGGCCCACAAGGGCGTGCTGGCGGCCTACAGCCCTTTCTTCCACTCCCTCTTCGCACAGAGCAAACAGCTGCGGCGGGTGGACCTGTCGCTCGACGCGCTGACCTCGCAGGGCCTGCAGCAAATCCTCAACTTCATCTACACTTCCAAACTCCTGGTGAGCAGCCGCACTGTCCACGACGTGCTCAACGCGGCCGCCCTGCTCCAGATGAGCGACATCGCGGCCTCCTGTCGCGACCTCATCGGCAGCCACTCGCTGAGGGCCACCTGCGGGGGCGTGGCCAAGCGGGAAGGGCTCGGTGGCGGTGAGCCAGCTTCTGCAGCGATGCCTTCCAGCCAGCTGTACCCGGGGATCAAACAGGAGTCGGAGCTGGGGAGGTTGTACAAGAGGGACGGCGGCAGCCCGTTTTCTGTCAGGCTGGAGGAGGCGGGAAAGGCGGCCTCCCAGCAGAAGCAGTATTACCAGAAGGAGGAGGCGTCAGGGGGCGGGGCCGGCACAGGCGTGGCTGCTCTCTGCAAAGTCGAGAGCAACGGGGAGGAGTCAAAGGCCGCCGACAGCCACGCCTCCTTCAACAGAGACCAGATCATTGTCGAGGTCAACCTCAACAACCAGACCCTTAACGTGTCGAAGGGGCCGGAGGCGAAACCACCAAGCGCCGCCGAGTCGGCCGCCATGTTCGGTTGCTGCCACGACAACGAGGGGGATTCCGAAGACGGGGAGGAGGACGAGGCGGAGAACGACGACACGGGTGAGGACGAGGGCGAGTCGAAGAGGGGGGACGCGCTGGGGCGGAGCAGCGAGGAGGAGGAGGAGGAAGATGAGGAAGAGGAGGAGAACACCTTAAACATTCCGGGCTTGGAGCAGTCCGCCCTGGTGGACAGAACTCGCCGGGGCACCAGGGCCTTCGCCACGGCGGGCACCGCCGCCTCCATGAGGCAGACTCTGGCAGAGGCCAAGCTGGCCAACCAGCGGCAGGGCGTGAGGAGGAGGCCGGACGCAGACGGCCCGGGGCAAAAAGTCCGGCTGGAGGAGAAGCAGCATTTTCCGTGCAAGAAGTGCCCTCGCGTCTTCAACAACCGCTGGTACCTGGAGAAGCACATGAACGTCACGCACAACCGCGTGCAGGTCTGCAATAACTGTGGGAAGCGCTTCCTGCTGGAGAGCGAGCTGCAGCTGCACCAACAGACCGACTGTGAGAAAAGCATCCAGGTAGGGTTCACAACGTGATGAAAGAGGTTTGAAATCCTGGTTTAATTCTCACACCAGCGTGTGGATTTAGCTCGGGGACCAAGTGAATCCATGTTCATTCTTCATTTTGACTGCAATTTGTGTGTATTTAAAACACAAATGTGTATTGTTGACCAGAAGCCGACCGTGTTTACGTAACCAAGCCGGAGGGTCCAAAAAATGGAGGAAGCTATTTTAGCTTGTAGCTTGTTCATTTCTACTTACTCATTACTTTGCAGGTTAAAATGATAGAATACACAAAAGATGACTCTTAATTAGTCCATCAATCAATCAGTGCATGCCTGCTAAATCATTTGAGAAGTCGATGCCTAGAAACAAAATGAAAAGAAAATACAAGCGAGTGAGACATCTCCACGCACTTTTAGTGGGCCATAAGGGGTGTTTGAGAAAGTTTTGGCAGTAATACTCGCAGTAATGATGCATTCTGCCATGTCTCACCACCTGCAGTCTGCAGTGAGCAGCTGGACTTCTGCTGTGGTTTCCAAGATCATTTACTGCTTTAATCTTCTGCCTATAAATTGTTCTCGCGGTCCGGCTAACACTCAAATATCTGTAAGATCACACGTGTGTCGTGTTTTGTAAAGACTGTTCCAGATGACATCCAAGTAGCTCCACTAAAAACTACATTTTGCCCCCCCTTTAGTGTGTAACATGTGGCAAGGCCTTCAAAAAGCTGTGGTCGTTACACGAGCACAACAAGATCGTCCACGGCTACGCCGAGAAGAAGTTCTCCTGCGAGATCTGTGAGAAGAAGTTTTACACCATGGCTCACGTCAGGAAGCACATGGTCGGTGAGTGGCTGCGACATCAGCGTTCCCGGTTGGTCGCTTTGTTCCCGTTTATTACTTCGAGCTTCCTTTTCCACTGATTGTTGACCGATATTTGTTTTGGGTGTTGCTTTCCACTTCCTTTTTTTGGGCAGATAAGCATCTTATTTCCCAGAGAGACTTGCCTCACTCCCACTCAATATGTGTTTCAGTGGTCAGAGAAGAAGTCCCATTTCTCCTTCTTGCTGATTGGGTGACTTGATCGTTTGTGGAAACTTCAGAGGATCATTTGTACTTAGCACAATGATTAGCCAGTGAAAAAGCATCAGCGGTGTTCTTCAAGGGCTATTTTAGGGTAGCGTTTTTCCTCCTGCGATTCAGTGGCTCGACATTGAATACCACTGACCATTATCTTGTACTGTGTGTGTGTGTGTGTCTGCGTTTTTTAGCTCATACGAAGGACATGCCGTTCACCTGTGAGACGTGCGGGAAGTCGTTCAAGCGCAGCATGTCACTTAAGGTTCACTCTCTGCAGCACTCGGGAGAGAAACCCTTCAAGTGTGAGGTTTGAGCTCCTTCAATACGCCGCAGTTCTCTACTAAAGTCGCACAAAGATTTTCCCTCCACAAGAATACAACAATATCCACCAGTGTAAACCCTGTAACGTCTGAAAAAAATGTGTTTAGAATGTAATTTAATCTAAATTAGTCTCTTCGTGGCCTTTACTTGATATATTCTTGGTACACTAAAAATGAGTTGCATAACTTAAACATGCTTTTTGTGTTTCACAATAAATAGTTTTTACTTTTATGGATCACTCAGTTTAGCGCCACATGGTCCGCAAAAATAATGTTACAAAATCCGCCAAGACCTCTTTTCCTGGTCTTGTGTAAAAATGTTTGTTGTGTGGCATTTCAGAACTGCAGCGAACGCTTCCAGTACAAATACCAGCTGCGATCCCACATGAGCATCCACATCGGACACAAGCAGTTCATGTGCCAGTGGTGCGGGAAGGACTTCAACATGAAACAGTACTTTGACGAACACATGAAGACGCACACTGGTGAGTCCCTTCTGCCGTTACTTCTGAGAAGTCCAGAGCACCACTAGTGGTGAAAAACTGTGGATGTTGACATTTATTTCTCAATGATATTGTTGAGGGTAGGTCCTCATCAACGAGGATGAAGAGATTAAATGAAATAAAATGAATAAAAACATAATGGCACTGATGCTGGAGGTGTGTCGGAGGTCGCACGGCCGATGGGAGCGCCGGCTGGAAAGGGCGGCCAGAATGTATCCAGGCGGCGTGCCGCTCAGCTCTCCTTTTCCCCCCTCATGCGTGCAGGAGAGAAGCCGTACATCTGTGAGATCTGTGGGAAGAGCTTCACGAGCCGGCCCAACATGAAGCGCCACCGCCGCACCCACACCGGGGAGAAGCCCTACCCCTGCGAGGTGTGCGGCCAGCGCTTCCGCTTCTCCAACATGCTGAAGGCCCACAGGGAGAAATGCTTCCGGGTCAGCAACCCCATGGTCGCCGAGGGCAACGAGCCCCTGGGCCTCCATCAGCCGCCCGCCGCGGACTCTTCCTCCTGCGGCCGGGCGCTCCCCGCCACGTCTGCCTCCAGCCCGCGCCACCTCCATGGCACCCAGCTGTCTCTTCCCCTGCTGCACTCCATGGGGGGGCTGCCGCCCGCCCCTCACCTGCCCCCGCCGCCGCCCCTGTTCTCTGCCGGTAGGATGAACTCCAGCAACTAGCAAATCGCCGTAGCGTCGAAGGCACTTTTGTTACTTTGTGTTTTTCTTAGAGCTTTTGGGAGGACTCCCGCGGCCGGAGAGCGATGCACCTCTGTGACGTTTACGCTGAGAGGAAAGACTAAAGGCTAACACACACACACACACACACACACACATACCACAATAAGAAATAGTTATTTTTTACTCTGTTTAATACAATAGATAACCTCAGAGTCCAGTAGGACGTCTTGTCGCCGCGCCTTTCCTCATCAATTTCACAAACTCAGTTGTGGTTTCTTTTCGGGGTTCACACACATCTCTCCAGAGCCGCGCACAATGCATTGATTGTAGCATCTTTTGCAAAGTCGTCAGGAGGTGTTTCCCAAATCCTCACTGTCAGTCGAGCGAGAACCACACTATAATGATAATTTAAAAAAAAAAGAAGAAAACTTGTTCTTGATCGTTCTCGGCCAAGATGTAGCTACCTGATCTGCAATAACCAAATGCTGATTTGTCTGAGCATAAACATGTACATGGCATCGCCAATAACCAAATCCTGTTAGCTCACCTGCTATAGTTACACAGTTTTAATGTTATACAGCATTTATAATCGATCCTGCACCTTACATTTAACTCTAGTGATATTTTAAATGTACTCCTAACTGTCTCCATTTTTATAATTGTGGTGGTGTGGTATTTGTGGCAAGAGAAGTTGTGATGCGTGGAGGGTCGGCCGTGTGATGCAGTGTGTGTATGCGTACGTGCGTGCGTGTGTGTGTGTGTGTGTGTGTGTGTGTGTGTGCGTGCGCTCGAGGGATGAGATGAAGATCTTGAGATCTATGCTCAGTTAAACAGCCCCCCCCCGAGTCAGGAGATGGAGACTCATTTGTCGACTCGTCTTTTGCTTACATTAAGCAAACACGCTCTTCTCCTGTAGATTTGGCTTTGAGACGATATCGCACTTTTCTGTGACCTGTTAGTAAAAACCTAATGTAATCCCACCTACTGCGTATTTGTGGGTTTAAAATGTTAATGTTAACTTGCATTTCTCAACTAAACCATTTTTGTGTAATTTAATTTGGATAATACCAGTATTACGTAGCTCAGTAATTATGCACATTTCAACAAGATGTATATTGCGAAATGATGAACATTACATTACAATTGGGCACAACAGAGTGCATCACTAGAAGGGCTTCTAATGGTAAATTATATAAATCAGTGCATTTCTTATAAAGACACATCATAAACACATCAAAGTTATGGACATGCAGTAATACTCATTTGGGACTCTACGTGCACTTTGGACAATTGTTTGTCATAAACCTACAGGAGTAGAACTGAAAGAATAAAATCCATGTCAGTAAAAAGCGGTTCTCTTAAAGCAATAGTTTGACTTTTTGGAAGCAGCTTGTTAGCTTTGCTTATTAGACAGAAAGTGGTGCAAGCAGAGGAAGGCAGCTGGCTGGATTCTGTCTGAGGGTGAAAACACAAAAGAATACAGGAATTAGCCTGAAAGCACATAATGCTCACTATTTGACACCTGCAGCTTCATATTTAGTGTACATATATGAGTGTGGTGTATATATATATATATATATATATATATATATATATATATATATCTTCTCAGCTACCTTCCGCAAGAAAACTAACAAGCAACTTCCCAAAATGTCAAAATATTTCTTTTTAAATCAATCAATAAATTTCAATCAATTAATTTCCAAAAACCGTTGCACTCCCGCTCACTTTATCTATGGCCTGCTTGTAGTGTAGCGTTGACCTGTAAATATTGTTAAGATGTGTTTTTGTGTTTAATTCCTCTTGTTTACATTCGGAGAGCCACTCGAATGTGCCCCCATGTGCGTCTTGGCTGGTACTTCCGAATGTTGGAATTTGTGGATGAACTTTTGTAAATGTCATGCTGTTCATTGTTTTATTTAAAAGACAAATTGAAGCACCTTAGTTTAGTCTTATGTCTGTTTTCTCATCCCAGTTCCGTGTGTCTCTTAAACTGCCATGGTTAAATGATTAGGGCCACCTCAGATGCTATATGACAATGGTACTTTTTGTTTTGTTTCTTCATGTGTCAAACACATGTTTTGTATTTTGATTTGCTGCTTTTGAATAGGGTCCAGTTTGAAACGGCCCTTTAAATAGAACGTCTACAGCTGTTAAATTTTGGCTGGCACGAGATACAATTTAAACATTTTGATCAGTTTGATGAGGTAACCGCCAACATTTCAGAATTGATCTCAGTCGTAGTTATTTGGGGACATCTGATGTTTGACGGACTGAAGGCAGTTTCTCCCAAACACAACTGCACTCTCTTGTGGGAGCTCAGTGAACTGCACTCTGTTACCTACAAGAGAAAGAGAAAAGTCTCCCCTGAGAGTAGATTGTCGTGCATAGTGTATCTCATGTCATCACTGGAGACACTAGTACTTTGGGATCATTAGAAAGGCTAAAGATTGAACGTATTTGGCATCAAATATCTGTCACTGTTCAGAAGCAGTAGCCCAAGAGACAATACTGAGATACTGTGGTTATTGTTTGTGTATTCGCCTTATACTCCGAGGGATTTGAATGTTTCTATGTTACGGACGATGATAGTAGCTGATGCTAAAAGAGGAGCGATAGTAGTGAATACTACTGATTTATGCACTTTGAATTTACCCCATAACGGGGAACATGCATATACAAGTTGGGTGATAGATAGAGCTAAAGTTAAAAGGCTAAAGAAAAAAAAAGATATCCACACAGCCGGCTGAATCAGAACGCATGCATTTTACACTTAAATGTACCATGTGGATAGTGACACTCATTAACAATTAACAAATTACTGTCAATTTGTTCAGTTTCTGAGCAAAGTTCATTGTCAGTAAGATACAGAAGTGGCAGAGGAGTCGGTCATGGTTCATCCTGCACCTTAACTGGTGTTTCTGTTTCAGTCTTCCTGTTTGACACCATGCCGCTCTTTTAACAAGAACTCCCTGCACACGGTACATCTGTGCTATTTCTGATTGGCTTGTTCCCAAATCACTATCCAAAATAGAAGTTGTAGCTCTTACCAGTTTGCTCCATTTGAAGGGGCCTTTAATATGTGACTGTTTCATTTAATGCTAGAGAAAATGTCAAGGAAGTTGTCGGTTGCCAATTGGGGAATGAGAAAGCTCCATTATTGCGAGCACTTTATATTACAGTTCAGCTAGTGTGGTTTGAAGGCTGAAAATCTGCTGATGATAGGTGGGCTTTTTATATTTCCCGGGCATAAGATTATACAAAAATACAATTCCTGCCAGAAATGTTGCCTTGTGAAGTCCTCTGAATTAACGTTTCATTTAGACCAAAGGATGCTGAAAATGCCTGTTCCAACCTATAAAAAAGAAGTCCTGCGGTATTTACCTGTTTTGAATCTGTTGAAATATTAGTTTAGAATCTCCACAAGTCCAAATCTAAATCCACTTTAGCAAGCAGGATTTAAAATGTTTTAATCCTGAGTCTTTGTCTTACTATTTAGTGAACTAGTCCTCCCTAAATCCATCTGCAAACAAGAAAAAACCCATTCCAGACATCATCAGAGCGACAATGTGCAGGCCTACATTAGAGGAGACTAGCCTTACTGTGATTTTTAGCCAAATTTTCCTGAACTAAGGCTAGCAGCCAAAGGCTCGTATTTGATCGGGTAGAGATGAACCTGCCCTTGTTGTTAAATTTGTCAGTGATCAGGTTGCTGCCTCGACACCACAGCGGCCGAGCTGTGTTCTGCGTTGCACTCGAGGCAAATGTCACACAAAGAAGCGCTCAGCATGGCGGTTTGTGCAAAGCAGAGTGATCATGGGATGATCAGGTAGCGTCTCTACTGGGACTTGCAGTTTGGGGGTTTAGCTGCTAGAGCCTGGGTGTGCATCCAAAAGGATTTTGATTATCTTGCCTTCGGCTTCAAGAAATATTGTGGGAATATTGCTATTTTAATGCAATAGCAGTTGTTTTCATGAAGATTTGTAGAGAAAGCAGTATGTGTATGAAAGAGTTTAAAGAAATGTGTAACCCCTTTGAAGATGAAAAAATTGTCTCATTTGTAAGAATGGAGGATCGTTTTTTTTTTTTTTTTTTGGTGCAAATTTGTGGAGCCCCAAAATATTACACAAATAAATCATAAATATAACAGATCATTAAAGCAATAATATTCTTAAGTGATTAAAATGGAGTAGCAGAACTACCTGGATTACCAATTAATCTTGGAAATTGACAATTCTATCAATATACTGTCATATGTAATATATGACAAAACAAGACATTTGAAAATGTTCACTTGGCCATTAAAGGATATTGATTCATCCTTATAGCTTTTAATCTTTATATTTGCTGACATTTAATCAATCGATTGAGTATTCCACACCCATGTGCACAGCAACACTGACTGTAACTGTTACAGCCCTAGTAAAAGGAAATACTTTTAAGGAGCAAGACGCTACTTATTTATGAAAGTATTTTAGCTTTATTTTGTTTTGTTTTTTAAATCATACACACACGTGCACAAGAATATAGAATCAAAAGTCTGAGAAGTCATACCTTTGAACATAATTAGTTTTATTGGCTAGCTGACGCGGATTTGCCTTAGCTAGCCAGCTTGTTAGCTTGTTGGCTAAATTACTCTAAGATATAAAGTATACTTATAAGATGAGGGTATATAGTATATTGATCATTAACATCGTGTTTCTTGGCAGGCGTAGTTGTATACCCAAGGCTGGCAGACGTGCGTTTAGCCGCCAGCGTTTTCACCAAAGCTAATTGGTTAGCCTGCACTCCCTCTTAATTTTCCCTTAATTTGCTCCACAAATATTGCAAACAGTTCAGTTTTAGTCATTTATTATTTTAACTGACAGTATTGTTATTAGCGATGTGTTCAGTTTTATTTGATAATCCTTTACTACATTTTGTCAGTGTTGGGGCTCCATATAATCTAGACTATGACATGTTGGTAACTTGGCATGTGGGACTTTGTTTGGCTGTTTGTTCGGTGGTGACTTTCCCTTTTTGTGGGCAAAGACGTGTACGACAACAATTCAAAGATGTATTATCCACATCCCCTACATTTACCGTACCTAATCATACTGCCGCTTTGTTAATTCATGCGTACTGTTATTTACTGATTCTCTTCTTCATTATGAAAACACTGTCTTTGTTAACTCTGGTGTACAAAACCCATGTGTAGGCAGTAGTTGTCAAGTTCAGCTATATTAAAATACTAAAATTCATACAAAGACAATAGTGTCTAGAGGTGCTAATAACATTAGACTGTATTTTCTGTCTTCTATTGTATTATTGACTAGTGTTTACTGTCTGTAACACAGCAGAGCGTAATTAAATCATTTCAATATTAAACAGTATAAATATATTATTTCAAATGGAGATGTGTGCTGTGTTTTTATTTCTGTTATTTCACAGAAAAACGGAAATTGTATCACGTTCCAGCCAAACTCTTTAAAGGCACCTTCGCCACGATTTAGCTTACACCTTTGGAAACATGCAAGTTCAACACTTTTTACATGATAATCTCAGCAGTTTTGGGTGTTAGATACTTAGTTTATTCCATTACAGTGCAAAAATGTCAACAGTCTACAGATCGTTTCTCAGTTTTACAATTTCAATCAGATGAAAATCACTCAAAGAAATATAAAAATGGCTTCAATCCAAAAAGAAAAAATGCTGCATGAGCTAGAGGTACAACTAGCTACATAATCATTACTGCGAAACACCACAGTGAGCTCACGACGTCTCAGCGTGAGATGTCACTGTGCACAGACCGGGGGGGGGGGGGGGGTTTACATCTTGGTGAGACGCAGGGTGTTGAGGCGGACCCCCAGAACAGTGGCACCTGAAGCGTACTGGATCTCTTTGAGGATCCCCTTCCACTTCCTGTCTGCCTCGTCAAACCTGTGGAGGTTAGCGGACTCTTTGGTAAGTCTCAGATGTGTGCTGAAGAACACACTATCAATCATGACAATTACCGCGACTCCCTGTTTTACTTTCTCTTTCGATTTTATCAAGTCAACCCACCAGGAGCTCGATGAATCACTGACAGAATGAATGAGTCTGTTATGACCCACCTCCAGATGTCGTTCATTTCTCTGGGAACAATCTCTTCGCTGTCCTCCAAAGGCATCATGGCAAAACCTGCTACAGCGTACAGCAGGCCAGCCAAAGACACCAGGTTCAGAGAGCTGCGCTCCTGGGGGAACGCTACAAAGTCCGACCACCTGAAAAACACACACACACACACACAGGCGTCACAACAATATCTCATTTGAGGGAGTTCCTCTTCCTGCAAAGTTCACGTTTGGAAGCTCCTCCTGGTGACTTTGCTGTGGGACCAACACCATCGTAGACCCTTCGCCGCCGGACTCGCTGATGACCCGGAACTCACTTGTTTGTGGCGATGTCGTACACCTCCACAGAGTCCGTCAGCCCAGTGTCGGTGACTCCCGCCGCCACATATATTTTGTCTTTGTGAACAGTGGCTCCAAATAACGAACGTGCAACCTTCATGGGTTCAAGCTCCTTCCACTCAAACTTCCTGGCGTCATATGCGCAAATCTTCTTCAGACAGCTCCTTTTCACAAGAGAGACATGGGATTTATATTAAGATAAATATTCCTATTACACGTGTTTTCACTGGTGGATATTAATATTTTGATCCCACTTAATACTGACTTGTTTTCTCCCTTTCCTCCAATCACATACACAACATCGTTGTGGGATATGGTTGCATGTCCGTACACCGGGTAAGGTAGTTGCTCCGATTCCCCCCATTTAAAAGATCTGTGAAGGCGTAAGTTGATTATGAGTCAGTCCGGAGAACTCCGTTAAATTATTCACTGTGACTTTGGCTTGTACTCACTGTCTGTCGTAGACCAAAACGGAGTCCAGCGTGTGCTCCTGCTCCTTCAGTTCCCTCCCTCCCAAAACAAAGATGAAGTTCTCCGCCTCACCCAGCCCGAACAGAAAGCGGGGAGACGGCAGGGGAGGCATCCCCAGCCAATCGGCAGTGGCGGGGTCATACTGAGGTCACAGGGGGATCAACACTTTTGTGAATGGGGTTTAAATTACACCATCTGAGATAGACACACTGTAGCAGATTGACTTAAACACTACAGGTCAATTTATTTCACCTTATATAGAAGAATCTTCTATTTTAATCGAATATATGACATTTACTTCTCTTTTATTTATAGCCTTCCCTACCTGCAGGAAATAAGAGCACAGTGGATCTTCTTTGTTTTGTTCATCGAAGAATAACCCTCCTGCCACAAAGATCTGGTTCTCCTTGGTGACCAGGCTGGTGTGGTTCTTGGGGATCTGTGTGGAAAGTGATGCCAAGAAGCAGTCGTTCCCGGTCGGGTCGTAGGCCACAGCGCCTGCCTCGTTCACCATCAGTATCAAATTCCTGACAAACATGCCAAACCGCAGATTGTCATTCAAGATGCCTGGTAGAAGACCTTCCTCTTCCTCTTTATTCTCATCATCCCCGTCTTGCTCTGCCCCCGCGTCCTCCTTTTTGCATTTTTTAACCTCTGGCATTTTGCCTGCGTGAGCGTCCCTGATCAGCTGCAGTTTCTGCTGCAGCTCCGGGTTCAAGGAGATCAGTTTGTGTTTCTCCACTTTTTCCTCCAGGTAATCCTCCTTGACCAGGCGCAGACGAACGCAATCCAGCAAACCTGGCAGATCTTTCTCTCTGCCCTCATTGTCCCGGGACACCCAGTTCATCAGAGCCTCGAACACCGCCTCCTCCGTCTCTACGTTCAGATTGTCGTTTGCTAAAATGGCCGCCAGCTCGCCGGGGAGCAGCTGGAAGAACTCCTCATCTCTGGAGATGAGCTGAAAGCGCTCGCAGGCAAAGTTTCGGGCGGAGACGGCCAACCTTGGACAGTCCAGCATCAGGCCGAGCCTGAAGATAGCCAGACAGTTGCTGAGACTCAGGCGCTTCTGTAGGAAAGATACACAAACAGTAAAAATTGAAGGGATCTGGTACACATTGGCCACTGCGAAGATGTCCTGGACGTTCTGCTCCGTCACGTTGATTTTGGAGGTGTACAGGTACTTGAGGATCAGCCCCATGACGCCAGGCTCCACATCCTCCAGGACGATCTCGCTCTTCTTGCTTTCCTCCAGGTCGGACAGAAAGATGGAACGGAAGTAAGAGCTGCAGGCGCACAGGACCAGCCGGTGGCAGGGAAACTCCTTGTCTTTGATCTTCAGCACGCAGTCGACCAGCTTGTCGTTCTCCAGCAGCTCGAACAGACCGTCCTGCAGCAGCGTCTGCTGGTACATCCTCGGCTCGTCCATGGGGTTTATTGGCAGAGCCATCGTACCTGGCAGGGCGAGTTTGAGGAGCCTTTCGGGGGCTTCAGATCCAACAAAAAAGGTCTTCTTTTATAGCAGAATTGTAGTTTCCAGCCTTGAAAGAGGATTGAGAGGCACAGTCAGTGTGCTATCAGCAGCTGAACCCAGGGACGGCCCACTCGTCAGCTGTCCTGACCCTTCAACTGAGCTCTAACTGGGAGGTTATTTATAGTCTGCAGGCTCGGTGTGGAGCTATGGGCTTCATTCTGGAACATGAAATGCAATATCCACGCTACAATTCCCCGTCCCACCCCTACGGCTCCCCAGGAACATCCACCCACTCTGGAGACAGCTGACAGCGTTGCATCATGGGAAATATGTCCATCCTGAGTCACGGGTAGGGCATCGTAGGGTCTCCGTGACTGAGTCACCGAGTTATTCCTTTGTGCCCAGAGCTACACTGTTGTCGAAAAACCTTTTGAACACATCACTGGGTTACGTGTGTTGTCTCTAGCATGAACATGGTCACTTTAGTCTATTTTCATGACTCCCGACGCTCTGGAGACGGTAAAACTCCCCAACTCCCCAAATGTGTGTTAAAAATGGTCTCCAACAAAGAGAATTTACTTTTTTTATGGGAAAGTTTTCTCGACACTTCTGTGCCCGACTGTTAAGGCTATTTAGGCTTTTTCAAATGACAATATATATTCATTAAAATGTTTTGTCCATAGATTTACAGTACATCATATACGAAGCACTTTAGACAAATTAACTGTTGCGAAAATGAAACGTCAACCCCTATTTAATGTCATTACATATATTTTATGTTCAGGTCCGGGTGGTGATTCACCACACGTGTGACCTGTTTCAAATGTCTCCAGAGTGGAGGCATCAAATAGAAATAACTGTCAACTGCTAAAGTAACACTACAGAAATATATCACATGCCTAAAGATGAGACTCTGACTCATGTACTGGAGAAAAGCCCCCTCCTATTATTTAAACAGACACTCATACAGACACATTTGACCAAATCGTTTCAGTTTATTTTTTGCATTGATGAGAAAAGTTTCATAAAAAGGAAGTTTTGTTACACCAATTGTTGTTGTTCACTCTGAGTTGGTAGTGGACATTATTATATAATGATGGTACATATTTACAGTAAATGCTGTTTTCTACATCAGCAGCAACATCGATTCACAACTCATGGTTTGAAATGATTTGACCAAATATCCTACTCCTTTGCTATGATCAAAGCCAACATCAAACATCTACTCTGCTTTTTCCTTGCTTGGATCCGCGACTGGTTGAGCGGCACCGGGAGGAGCAGCGGGTGCAGCAGCGGGTGTAGCTGCAGCAGTGGCGGCGCTCTGAAGAGGAGCCGGAGGAAGAGGGTCAGGGTCATCGATGAGGGCCAGCCTCCTCTCCCTCTCCTTGATCACTTGAATCAGGCAGTAGGTCACAAACATGGCGGTGATAGTGGTTATAGGGAAGCCTGGAGAAGTTAAGAAGACAACGTGTTAGTGGAATTAAACCAAATTTGATTACCTCTTTTCAAAATCAAAAAAAAAATAACCTTTAAGAAGCAGCCGCTTTGCAACCAGCTTGGCGAAGTCCAAACTGTTCAAGGCCAGGATGTTGTACAACACAATGCTCCAGAAGTTTAAAGTATTGAAGACGGCTCTGATCCGGCGGGATGTTGCTTCTGGCATGGCCGCCTGTAAATAAGACATCGACAAACTAAAAATAATGTTTGTGCCAGCGTCCTGAGTGAAATGTAAAAGCCAACCTACGCCTGCAGACCTCAAGCGAAGCAAAGGGCTCCATGGAGAAGAACCTGGCTGTCCACAGCTCAAAGTTGAGGCCAAAACAGTTGAAGAAAGCCCAGACCAGCACCGCCGGGCAGGGCCCCAGCCACAGGATGGTGACGCCGAACGTGCACAGTGTGGCCACCAGCTCGTCCACCACGTTGTCATGTTTCCCACCCAGGTGATCGTACACGTACCTGTGGATCAGTCAGCGTCAGACCCTCTAAATGTGTAAAGATCCATGAGTCTTTAATTACATTTATGGAGCTCACTTGCACAGCCACTCGTTGATCCCTCTGTCAAAATGACTGTGAAAGACAAAAAAATACTACTTTAGATTTACAGATTTTCTCGGTAGGATGAGACTCGATGTGATGAGTGTGAACTCGACGCACGTTTCCGCAAACACGTAGAGCATGGTGATGCATTTTGGCGGGTTGGGAGGGTCCAGATGATCCAGTCTGGACACCGTGTTGATGACTCCAAACATGATGGCGGCTTTTACCCAGTCATACACCAGGTTAAAGTAGGCTAGTCCCACTGGAAACAATGCAAGTATTAGCTGTGCAGTCAATGTACTGTCACACAGCAGATAAGTGTGCCCTGGGTAACTCGTGAGTAAAATCATTTCGGGGAGGTGGCACAGACCTAGAGCCCAGTCAGACGCATGCTTCAGCAGCTTCAGGTCGGAGGGGATGGTGAGGATGTACAGGAAGTGGAAGAGGACGTCCACTACAATGATGGATGCGAGTTGAATCAGGCCCTGCAGACGGATGTTCCACATGTCCCCCTCTTTCCTGGTCAGCTCCGGCTTGTTGGCCTGCAGGGGGCAGCAGACCGGCGTTAAAAAAAGCTTCCTCTGTGATGGAGGCTGCCGGTGGGCCCCCCCCTCATAAAATACTTATTATGTTTTCACATGTTCCTGTGATATTTATATTATATATTGTGATGTTTACAACATGAGGGTTTGAACTGTTAGATTCTTTTCAGCCTTCAACGTGTACTTCATTTTAAGTAAGATGGACATTTCCCTTGACTACTTTAACTTACCTGAATATAAAACTTATCAAATGTCATGATGGGCCCGAAATAGAAGAAGGGGAGGTAGAAGTTGTACTTGAGCAGCTCCAGGATGTTGTAGTTTCCCTCTTTCCTCTCGCAGTTCTCCAGCGCAAAGCTCATGCAGCGCATGATTGTAAACCCACAACCTCCGTAGAAGAGAACATGACGTAGCTCAAAGTCACCCTCCACAAAGCCTGCCTACGTGGAAGAAAGCGAATAAAAGCGTTGAAATAATATTATATCTGCAATGTAACTTCTGTTCAGGTACAGCAGATTACCTGCCAGGACACGAAGGGTTCACACTTGAACGTGGCGAGCGTGCAAAGGCCGGCGACAAAGCAGAGCCAGCGTATTTTCACCAAGGAGATGCTGTAGAGCAGAATGCAGTGGGACAGGATGAGGGTGACGTAGGTCCAGCCCATGCTGGTCCACACGGCCAGCAGCCCGTACACCATGTACACCAGGGACCGGTACTGTGGGGCAGAGGGGAGAGGGGGGGGTGCCACCCCCGGGGATGAGTTAAGACATTTACTCAAGAACTGTAATTAGGTACAAATTCAAGTAAGTAGTTGTTAGATTTTCCCAATAAGTTCCCTTATTGGTGAAGACTTTAATACGTAGAAGTATTTCTAAGCCATAAATATAAATATTGCTCAAAAACGAACAAATGAACTGTCTTCACAGTCAGTTGATAACAAAGAGACTCTACTAAGAGAATTTATTCTACCATCTGCTGGAAAATGTCAATTTATCATCAAGAAAAACTAATAAATAATGAAATCTACACCTAGACACTGAGAGCCTGCAGTGTTGTTAACCAAACGAAACTGCCATAATATATCTATTTATATTCTTTCCACCTGGTCCCATTCATCACCCGCTGTTCAGCTAATGATATAAAAAGCAACGGTGCAATGTTGTAAAAATAAACTGTAACAAAGAAGATTTCACTTAGTATTCTTGATAACACAGTGTGTTTCTTCCCCCTGATTTCACAGCATTTGAATGTTTTTGCTCAGATCATTAAACCTCATTCCTTTCCTCCATTACACTCTTTTTCCATTAGTCAATCGATAAGTTAGTCAGGAGAAGCACCTGCGGAGCCAACATGGAGCCGATCTTAGCGAACAGCACATGGCCAGAGAGAGCAAACAGGATGTGCTCTTTGAAGGTGGAAAACCACATCATCCACTCAAAGTCAGCCGTATCCTGGAGAGCAACGGAAAGAAATTCAAGTCAGTAATATATTTAAATCAATGGCAAACGGCTCAATTAAATATCAACGTTGTCTCACCATCTTCCTCCCAAAGTAGTACCATCCCGGCTTCACGCTGGTTTTGAACGTTTTTCTGTTTGCACTGGCTGAAAGTATGAAAACCACAAAACTATCGTACATTTTAAAAATCATGAAATTCAAAGAAACAAAGCTTAATGTGAGTATTTCTAATGTCGACACACACATTTCCTGTCACATATTTTGTTTTCATTTTGCTGGAATTGTCTTGCATTCAATGCAAGACAATTTTGTTAAGTGAAACCTTTGTCACAAGTGAACACAAGTCCTATTCTGCTCTTGTGCTCCGTGGTATTAATACTGACACCCGATCCCCTCTGCGTGGTCCACATAGCTCCAACTCTTCGCCCCTGGCACAATGACTCTGCCCCTGTGAAGTGAGTGTGTCCGTATGGGACTGCTCCACGCTGAGCTCAACTTTATGGTTCTATATATAATATAAAAATTATGGTTGAATGCACTTATTGTACGTCGCTTTGGATAAAAGCGTCCGCTAAATGACATGTAATGTAATGTAACTCTGCCGCTACATCGGCCTCACTCAGTTACTGGGTAAACAAAGGCACTGGTTTCTTATTTATTTTCTTTCTAATTAGTAAGTAAGTGGTAGTCCAATAGTCATTATTATTGTTACATAGCAGTAACACCTGTGAAATCAAAAGGTGTGCTCTGAAAAAGACGTGAGCTACTTGTGAGGGTACCAGAGAGCATAAAGGGCACATTTTTTATTTGTACATATACATTAAATGGTGGACACTAACTGGAGTTTGGTGACACAGACCTGCCCAACTGTGACTTGAGAAGAACTCTTAATCATCCTAATCATCCTAAATCTTGGTTTGTGTCTGTGAAAATGTAGAATATACTAAAAAGTTTTCCTTTAAGTGAAATAGATTTCCAAAGATTTGATTTCGCCCTTTTATGTATGCGAGTAGATTCCAGTACGGACGGCTGTTTATGTCAAACGGGTCACATTCTTTAGCAGAATATAACAGTACTTGTCCAGAATGATGTTGTTCGGCATGCGTTTGTGTGTACGGCGTCATACTCACAACTGGACAGGTCAAGGATCCAGCTGGAGGCCCAGAAGAGGGCCAGACAAAGCACCGTGTTGTAGAAATAGATCTCATATTTGGGAAGCGCGGCTTTGATCCCCATGGTGAAGGGAAAGAGCTCCGGAGGCTCCTGAACACATGCACATCAGACCGGTCAACAACCAAACCGGGTTTCACTTGTGCAATGACACCGCATGGCATTACTCGTGGGGGGGTTCTTTATCTCATACGAATAAAACACTGACGGCCGAAATGTTGGTCATCACCATCTCGCCCTCATCGTTCTCTCGCCAGTACTCTCGTACTGTGCAAGAGGGAGTTCAATGTTTCTATGAGATGAATCTATTACAACTGAAACTAAACATCGACTTTTCTGCTTGGAAATTAATCTTGATTCAGGTCACTGTGTGAAGTATACAGTAATAGCCTTGATAAATATTATTAGAGGTGGTATATACTTGATTTACTTTCTGTATCGTAATGATTGAACCGACTTACCTTCAAAATGTCTTTTCTATTTTTTTTTTAACATCGACGTAATGAAGTAAAACTACCGAAGTATTAAAAAAAAAAAAAAAAAGTATTAGGCTAATCACAATTGTATTGATCGGAAATGGTTGTTTAATATAGTTGCTCAATGTAGTGCTAATTGTTTGATTGTAGGGTACTTTAATCCATAATAATCACATTTGGTGAAATGATGTATCTTTTATATGTAAAAACAACTGCCTGTGAAAGAAATATAGTAAGAAGTACATTTCCTCCGCCTGTGAAACACAGTGGAGCAGAAGTATAAATTAGAAGAGTAATGAAGAACCTCTGAATTGTACTTGCAAAGTACAGTATACAGTATGCCTTAATTTAGGCCTTCCTTTCCACCTCGTCTGCCTTGAATGCTGCTCATGTGGTCCTTCCAGAGTTTTCCATTTTTAATCTATTTTGAATTACTTACATTTTGGCCATGTTCATCTGTCAAAATGCATTATTTCTCGAGCTTATTGCAAATGTAATTTTAAAGTCACTACCTTTGTTAAATAAACACAGGAAAGTAAACTGTACAATATTTTCATCATGGTATGTAGTGGAGTAGTTCTAAGATAAAAGTAGAATAATGAAAAAACATTGAGTAACGTGCCGTGATTATCAGATAAAATGAATAGTTGAGGTCAAATGGGCGACTTTCCTTTGATTAACTCAGAGACATCGACAATGAAGCCTCCAGCTGTCCGCTATCTTTAACCAAACAGCTTCTCTTTAATAAAGTTCTTTGCTTTATTATTTTTTATCACACTGTGTTTTCTGCATTACAAACCAATACAAACAAATCAGGTCCGTAACATGCATATGTATATATGTGTATAAATGTACATGTAATTATGTTTTCGCTTCACAATGTCTGCTGTTTAAATGCAGGGCGGTCACGCTGTTCAGTTTGTCCTCTGCAGCACCTGTCGTGGTACTGACCTTGAACGCAGCAGTTGCAGGCCCGAAGGAGTTGCTAAGACAACGCACTCGACCCGAATTGTTCAAAAGCGGAGAAAAAAAAATGGAAATTTTAAAATTAAAAAACAAAAAAAGCACGTATGAAAATGTAAATATTACATCCGCTCCGGGTGGGCTGCGGGTCCCTCTGACTCCCTGAGTGGGAGCTGCCACTGGTTAAAGGTGACGAGATGTATTTATACTTTGACCACTGACACAGAGGGGGCGGGACTTGATGGCTGCCGACACGCTGTTAGCCACAAATTTAGGAGTGTGATAAAAGTGTGTTTTATCTTGGCATTATCTTGCCAAGTTGAACTTCCCACACTGCCGACAGAACTTCTGTAACCGATGCAGCGGTGGGTTAATCTGCCTAAACCCACCTGCTGACACTAGCTCTATTAATAGAGTGTCTTCATCTGGCACTGTGTCATGCAATGTCACACAATGCATACTGCCATAAATGATGTGATCCAAAATAAGTGATTGTCGTTTAAGTGAGAAACTTTTAAAGATTGTACAATGTGTACATTTCACTGATGTATCACTTTAGCTTGCCTAGAGGGGAGCAAATGTAAAGTGTCTCACATTACCCGGATCTCGCCTACGGTCTTGTGTCACGACCGGACAATGGCCCTGAACCCAAACGCACGACTCGTTAGACAAAGTTCCAAAAGTTAACAAAAGGGCAAGTGCCACTGAAATAAAAATCACTCGTGGTCGTGGTAAAGCTATGGATGCACACATACACTGGTTCCTTGACGTGTGACAAGATGAAACAATCAGTGGCAGGGCAGACAATCAGACCAGCACCAGGGGGGAAGGGGCAAGTTGCCTGAAACGAGAGGGAGATTCATTTTCAAAATAAAACAGGAAATCACGAGACAACTTGACTAACACCGTTTCCTGGACATGACGCCTTGTAGAAAAAAACATAGAACACTGTTGTTACAAAGATTGCAACGTGCATGTTTAGACTTGATTTAATCCTCACCTCTCGCCTCATAGGTTCCTTTAATGATACCAGTTATTCGTCCGTCTTGGGTAATAATCAGAATAAGAACCATTTAATGGCAAGTATGTATGCCAATTTGCCATGGTGGGTGTAGGGTGCATATATTGGATAATTAGACCAATTAACTCAGGTTAAGAATTTGTGAGGATGAACAATGCAGGAACATTAAGTTAAATTCATTCTGCACAGAATTAGTTGCAAGTTCATCTCACATTTTTTAGACCTTTAAAATATTTGAATCTGCAGAACTAAATAAGAATGAGGAGATTAATCTGTAACATTGCATTGCAGAAAGGACAAATAGTTTTCATGCCACGAGGTTGTCTAAGATCATTGAAGAACATTCAAGTTAAGACCTGTTGCAATAAATAAGGCAAACATTGTACACGGATATGTATTTGTTTTGACCCTGGGGGTGTTTTCAGCATGTTTAGACCTGATTTAAACTAACAAAATTCCTCACCTGTTCTCTAACCGCCTCCTTCTGGGAAAAACAGGCGGGGGAGCGCGGGGAGGGGGCACCTGGTTCTGTTCAGTCTGAAGGGTTAGAATATATAAATTCTAACCCTTCATATAAAAGTAGGCTGTATATATATACAGCCTACTTTTTAATTAACATATATCCACCCACCCAACAGTTGTGGATGGTGTCATCTGCACAGTTGTAAACCCTGCAGATACTCAGATCTTGCCTCAGATGGTATTTAAAAGTATTCAGAAACAGTATCTTTTCCTGCATCACAGGAGGAAGATGATGATGAGGAGGAGGAAACGCTGTCTGCTGCCACAGGGAGCGATCCGGAGGGTTCTAACAGAAATTCCTCTGGAAATGATAAAACGTCTAATCTGGGTCGGAAGACTCGTGACGTAAAGCATTTCGAATCACGACGGCGTCGATGTCAATTGGATTTGGTTGGAATTGGCAATCCATGTCTACCAGCTTTCTTAATGTGGGAGGAGACGGGTAGAAACTCTGGGTTTCTTATAGTAAACCTGCCAGCGAGCAGGTTCACAGAGTCTGTTACCATGGTGATTGACTCAGAGTTTCAGTTACCTCTCTATCTGGAACGGATAACTGAGTTTCCCTGATCTCAGGGTTAACTTACTCTGAGTTTTCACATAACCCTCTTTCTGTAATACCCCCCAGATCACATGAAACTCAAACTACTTCCACATCATACATACATACATACATACCATCAGCTATGGGCAAATGTAATGGCTTAATCGCATGGTTCTTTTGTGATCAAAATAAATGATTTACATTATGCCCAAAATTCAATAATATATTCTAAAAAATAGTGTATTGCACGCTTCTATTTTAAATGAATGTTATCGGAATAATATAACAGGCAATCTCGGAGCAAGCTTACAGTATATAAAGTTTTCTTTTTTTTCTGAGCAAGTAAGAAACATTTGTCTTTTATCAGGGAACAGCATGAACAGTCTGTGCTCAGTAGAAAGGTCCCTTTTACAGTGAGGTAAAGTGGTCAAGCACAAAAAAAAGTACACGGCTGGAGTTTACTGTGCAGGGGACATTTTGTCTGTAAACCCAATGGATTTTCTTTGGAGAATCTCAGTCAAAGACAGAAAAAAAAACACTTTCAGGGAGGCAGGTTGAGCAGCAATGCTCCAAAAACAAAAGGCTGTTAATGTCACGGTTTGAGGTTCACATCTTGTTTTATTTTGTAGTTTTCTGGATCATGTCTCCCTGGTAATTTAACTTCCTGCCTTGTCCTGTCTTCCCCTGTGATTGTCTGTGTGCCATGATTGTTTCCAGCTATTTTCAATCACCTGCACCTCCCTTGTGTATTTAAACCATGTGTGTCTCTTGTTACTTGTCGTATCATTGCATATGGTCCGGAAGTCCGTGCCAGAGTGTTCCTTCTCTTTGCCTGTGTTTTTGCCCGTTGGCCTTTAGCTTTTGGAAATTTGGACTATTAAATTCTTTTTGTTTTTTGAATGGAATGAGAACTTGGATGCGAGTAAAGACCAGTTGTTTCTCTCTTTTAGGGCTGGATGGAGATGGTGGGGGAGGTTTATTAGTAAACTGCATGCTACAGTCACTTTTCTTGGGTCACATTATTAATGTCAGTATGCATTGTTGACTTTCTTTGTCTGATACTACAAGCAGCGGTCTGCAGTGCTCTGAAATCTGGATCTTTAAGGTCAACATCGCAAAACTGCTTATCACAACATCTGGATGTTGGAGCTTCACTCTGCAGACTGAGGTACATGTTTACTAGTAGATATACTTATTAGTGAGCTATTAGTAGGAACAGCCATAGTAAAGAATAGTATAATACAGATATTTAGATCTTAGCTGAGCCGATGTGTGACTGATAAGGTGAAAACTGGTGATGAAACCTAAAAACTAAGGAGAGAAAAAGCAAATACCGCTCAACGAAAAGTGATCCAGCCAAGAAAATAATGTGATGTACTGATTGTAGGACGTACGGCAGTGAAAATGTTAAGGGGTCTTTTTTGTAGTTGGGACAAGCAACTCCACAGTGGAAACAATAAAGGACCATGACATCTTCGTTGGCCATGTCAAAAGCATTATCTAAATGGAAGAAGACAACAAAGTACTCCTGCACATATGCAATGAGCTGCTCGTTTTGTCTTTGTCTTAATCAGTTACCTATGTTTTCATAATCAAACAAAACAAATGGTTACAGATACATTTGAAAAGGTAAAATATCTCTAGTTTTCATAGACTTTAACAAAGACATGTATTATTTTGCCTCTTGTGTGTTCTGGTTACACAAACCAGTAAAGTGTCTTACTGTGTGTTAATGCACCGGTGAACATTCTTCTGATATTAAAGAGAGAAAATGCACTGACACTAATTATTGTTCTGCCAAGTTTCCTGATTCAAAGAATGAAGAATGATCCACAACATTACTCGTCTACAGCTCTGAGTCTGCCCTGAGGCACAGCAGGTATTCGCATGCAATTTTAACATGCTCACAATCCCTAAGATGAATTATTCAGGAATCATGAATGTGTGTACAGAACTAGCTGCAAATTCCGCTAACATTTGTGTAGAAATCTAAAATGTTTGAATCTACCGAAAGTCATAAGAGGAAGAAGATTACCACTCTTTTTTGTTTTAGGCAATGTATCTTAAACATATTACAGCTTCCAGTTAATAACAGCGATGTGAGATGCCAAACGATTACCATGTGAAAGTAAATTGTTTTTGCCGCTATACCTGCAAGACAACGTTCAAGTTTGTGTATAAACTCGTAGCTCGCGTCCGTTGCAGATTTATACACTACATCTACACTGCTGATCATGATGAGGCCTTTGCAGTCATTTGGGTGTGTCTCCTCCTCTGTGGAAAGCATTGTGCTTTTCCATTCAAAAAGAAACCAGTTTAGCTGAAGGTCATCAGCAGTGAACTCTGGAAATGTTTGAATCTACAGAAAAACATAAGAGGGAGAAGATTAAAACTTTTTTTAGTTTTAGCCAATGTACCCTAAACATTTTACAACTTTCAGTTACTAACAGCAATGTGAGAGCCCAAATGATTGTTTGTAGCGGTTGCATGGTAACTCGTAGTAGATAGATAGATACTTTATTGATCCCTCAAGAGGGAAATTTTGGTATCACAGCCGCATGTACAGGGAAGAAAATAGAATAAAAAGATACACATTATATACAATATAATAAGATATAAATATTAAATAAAATAAACTGAAACAAAAGAATAACCTTCTAAAAGAGACAATAATAATAATTTGTAAAAAGAGAAGAGGAAAGAGCAGCAGCAGTACAGGGTTATTATTGTCATTATTTAGCCTGGGATGATTTATTGTAAAGCGTTATTGCACTGGGCAGGAATGATCTCCTGTATCGGTCTTTGTGACAGCGGAGCTGAAGGAGTCTTTTGGAGAACGTGCTCCGCTGTCCCTGTAGCAGGTGGTGGAGGGGGTGGTCAGGATTATCCAATGAGGATAACAGTTTCTTCAGTGACCTCCCCTCCAACACCTTTTCCAAGGTGTCCTGTTTGCAGCCAATGATGGAGCCGGCCTCCTTAACAAGTTTGTTAAGTCTGTTGGTGTCACCGGCTCCAATGCTGCTCCCCCAGCAGACCACGGCGAAGTACAAAGCACCGGCCACAACAGACTGATAGAACATCTCCAACATCTTGCTGCACACCTGGAAGGATCAAAGCTTCCTCAGGAAAAAGAGTCGACTCATCCGTAGACGGCGTTGATGTTGGTCTTCCAGTTCAGCCTGTTGTCGATGGAAACACCCAGGTACTTGTAGTCCTCGACCATGGCCACCTCCTCTCCCAGAACCCTCAGCGGTAGCGGAGCCGTCGTCTTCCTCCCGAAATGTCGACCACCATCTCTCTGGTTTTGGCCACGTTCAGGAGCAGGTGATTTCTGCCCGCCCACAACACAAAGTCCTCCAATAGTACAATGGCTCCATTCGTGCTGCCTTTATACAGTGGTGGTGCACGCGCTCAACTCTGAGTCAACCTACTCCGAGTTGATTGAACCAACTCTAAACAGCTGTTCTGAAACCCACAACTCAGAGTTTAGGGTTTGACTCAGAGTTTGTTAAACCTCCTACTTGAAACAGACCCAAGATTACACGGACCGGGAAATACTTGTTAGGCTCAGAGCAGTGAGCGTATAAAATCTAACAAAACCAGGTAATATATTGACTGAAGACATGTTTCCATGTTCAACATTAACAGCTTCTGTTAAAATTACAATAGTTTTTTTCACACATTATTTGGTTTTCACTTTTCCCTTCTGTCGTAGGTAGTCACTTCTTCTTTCTGTTTCTAAGATTGATTCAATTCCTTCCTTTTCACAAAATGATGCAACTGCTTTGTATTTTCTAATGTTTAAAGGTTTGAAGTTATGGGATAATGAAACTCTACAAGGGAAGACGACTAAAAAGTTCCAACCCAGCAGTGATTTTGACATTATTGAATCTGACTCCATTGATACCAAGTCCTCTCGGATGGAGGTTGATGCTTCTCTGAAGGTCAGTGTTCTCTCTGGACTGATTGAAGTGGGAGGATCTGCTCACTACCTGAACGATCACAAAGAATTCAAGAATCAGAGCAGACTGACTGGTCAGTACAAATCTACAACCCACTTGGAACAGTTGTCATTGACTGACCTGATGACCTTAGTGGACCATCAAAGGGACGTTATTAACAAGAGCTCTGCAACACACATAGTCACGGGCATCCTTTATGGGGCCAATGCTTTCTTTGTGTTTGACAGTGAAAAGTTAGACAGCAGCAGGGTTCAAGAAATCGGGGGCAGCATGAAAGCTATGATGACAAAGATCCCTGTATTAAGTGCTGAGGCCCAAGTGAGCACCAAACTGACAAAGGAAGAAAAAGACCTGAGTGCGAAGTTTTCCTGCCATTTCTTTGGAGACTTCAACCTTCAAAGCCTCCCTTTAACATTTGAAGAAGCAGTGAAGACCTTTGGACAACTTCCACAGTTACTGGGGGAAAATGGAGAGAAAGCTGTCCCAATGAAGGTCTGGCTGATGCCATTGACTACTTTATATCCAGAAGCTCCTGAGCTGAAGAGTGAGATCCACAGTGGACTGGTGGGGAAGATACAGCATACTCTTGAAGATTTGAGGGAAATCCAAATGAGAAGCAACGAATCTCTTAAAGACAGAGTGGTACAGAACTTTCCACATATTACAGAAGAGTTAGACACTTTCCAGAAGTTGTGTCACCTCTATAGATCAAACCTCCAGAGGACCATGAAGGAAAAACTCCCCTCCATCCGTGAAGGTATAGAAGATGAGAGCTCATTAGAAAAAACCATTGACAACAGAGACAAGTCCCCTTTCAGTCAAGAAAAACTACTCAAGTGGCTGAATTATAAGGAGAGAGAAATCAACATCATCAAATCCTGTGTGGAGACCATGGAGGGAACAAAGATTGTCAAAAATCAGTCCGAGCTCGACCGAGAGGTTCTTAATGGAGATGTAGATGATGTTTTGTGCTTCGTTTTCACCTCCACCAAACGGGGCGACACTTACCTTGATGAGATGGCCACATATTTGGACACTCCTATGAAGGGGAGCACCACTGAAGACGAGTGGTTCTACTCAGATGAAGTCTGGACCTCTATGAGAGTCAAAGCCAAAGCGTTCCAAGACTTTAGCAAAGCAAAGAAGAACAACAACCGGATCCGTTTCCTTATCGCGGTCATTCCAAATGAGGCATACAAAGGAGCAACTATCTACCATTACAAGCAGGGCATTCTGGACAGAACAGATTTATCAGGACTTGGCCCTTATCCAGAAATAATCACAGACAGAAGAGATCTGATCCGGTGTAAGTTTATTTATGCTTTAAGATAAACTACACTGTTCTAATCAATGTTCTGCAGAAACTATCAACCTGAATTTATTTGGTTCTCTCCATTAGATGCCTGTGATCTCACCCTGGACCCAAACACTGTCCAGAATGACCTTGTTCTGTCTGATGGAAACAAGAAGGTAACATATGGAACAGGTCATCAATATCCTGCTAATCCAGAGAGGTTTGTGAATTGGCTTCAGGTGTTGTGCCGAGAGGGTTTATCTGGGCGCCATTACTGGGAGGTAGAGACAAGTAATGCTTCACATAAAAAATGGGTTTATTTAACTGTTGCATACAAGACCATTGGAAGAAACGGAAGTGGTTCAGATGTAAAATTTGGAGGTAATGCTCTATCGTGGTCTTTTGGCCAGGAGGGTTCAAATGCAGAACACGTACTTCGCGCATGGCACAATGGAAAGGTGTGGCAGTCTCCTCCTCCCTCTGGTGGCTGCTCCACACTCGGTGTGTATCTGGACTGGCCTGCAGGCAGTCTGTCCTTCTACAAAGTCTTCTCCAACACACTGACACACCTCTACACCTTTCACACCGAATTCACTGAGCCCGTGTACCCAGGCTTCCACGTTGCATATAAAGGCAACTACGCTTACCTGCGTCCTCTTGAATAGGACCAATGCTGGTGACTTGTTGAATCCATTGTCTGTTAATAAAGGGCTGGGGTTAAAAGTAAAGTTTCAATGGTAAAATCATTTCATTTTACTTATGTGTTCAGTTGACGAAGAGCCTAAAAATGTATGTATAAATTACATTTTAATTTCTATTCGTATTCCTTTTAAAGCTTTGAAAACACCAATGTCAAAAAGCTAATGTTAAAACTTGTCTAACTACTAAATTTGTAAATCGTGAAGTGGGTTTTACACCAATTCTGTACCTTAATTCTGACCAATTTTAATAAAGTACTTTCCCGCAATAATTCAATGTGCATACTTATTGTAAAATAAAATGTTTTATCTTTAAATTAACTGCATTGCTTTCATATTGTTTTTTTTATATCTGTGTCTAACAGTAACTCCTGTGCAGAAACTATTTGTCAGGGAGCTGCATGGCGGGGAAGGTAGGACTCAGACACAGAGTTTTCAAGAAGAAAAGGGACTTTAATTGTCAAAAAGGTTTTCAAAAGCAAAAGGCCAAGGGGCAAAAAACGAAGACAGGAACCAGGAACGAGATCGTCGACGTGGACAGGGACTAGGACTAGGACTTCCATACAATGAACAATGACGCGACAAGTGACAACAGACACACATGGCTTAAATACACAAGGGAGCTGCAGGTGATTGGACACAGCAAGGAACAATCATGACATGACAGACAATCACAGGGGAAGACAGGACAAGGCAGGAAGTGACATGATCCAGGGAGAACAGAGGAAGGAAACTACAAAAAAAAAACAGACATTAACCCAAACCGTGACACTATCTTACATCAACTAACCTTTTAGGGCTGTGTGAAGAAAGACCAGACCAGTAATAGGTCCCAAATAATAAATCAATCGGTTTAAGAAAGGTAGAAAGCAGCAGAGAAGGGTGGTAAGTGAAGCCGGAGTTCAGTAAAGTTTATCACATGTATTTATTCTCAAGATCTAGACTAAAAATTCATGCTCAAGTACCAATAAAGTGTACACACAGTAGTCAGCCCACTCTTTTGTTAATATGCAAGAAATGTTACCGTTTGTGGAAACAGGAAACAAAAAGCGGATTTAAAACTTGATAAATAGCAAGTTAAATAGTTTTTAGTTCATCAAAGTATTCTTTTCTGTAAATGTTCAAAGAGATAATAACAGCTTCCAAAACCAACACATCGGCTCAGCTAAGATCTACAAATCTGGCTCATACTATTGATGGTCCCTCAGACTACTAATAGCTCACTAATAAGTAGATCAAGTGCCAAAAGGCTGCACAGTGAAGCTCAAACATCCAGATGTTGTGATAATTAGCAGTTTTGAAACGTTGACTTTAAATATCCAGATTTCTGAGCACTGCAGCCTTTGGTGACCTCTGCTGGTTGTATCAGACAAAGCAAGGACACAATGCATACTGACAATAATGACGTAATCCACAATCAGTGATTGTAGCATGCTGTTTACTTATAAACCTTTAAACCCTAATAAATACAAACTGATAGATAATTAGATGGTATGGTTATATTGGTTGGACTGGGAGAATAGAAGGATATGGGTTCTTTCAGGGCCTTTTCAGCCACTAGAGGCACCTTGGTGGCTCTGGAGTGACACGAGAGGTCGTAGCAGGAGCGATCAACAAAGCCCACCATCTCCATCCAGCCCTAAAAGAGAGAAACAACTGGTCTTTACTCGCATCCAAGTTCTTATTCCATATCTGTGAATTAAAGACAAAAATATTTACGTAATTGTAAAGCTGTAAATGTTCTCTGACTCATTTCATTAAGCCGTCGCTGGAAAATGCGTTCTCATTTTATTTATTTGCCCCTCTGAATATCCTCATGTTCCCATCATCATGAACGGCCTCTCAGTGAACTCAAGCGTTATGGCAGTCTGATTCAATTCTTAACCATTTTCCACCAACTTAAATAGGATTCATAGCAGTGTATTTCCCCTTTTGATCTCATGAAAAAGCGTGTTTTAAATATTTCTAAATTCTACCTCATTTTACAACATGGATCGAGTTTTCAGTGTCCCTTTCCTGCCAGTAGGGGGCGGTATTGGATGAACTCTGTGTTAACTTTTTGTCGCTCAGAATTAAGATCAGAGTCTGTTTTATTTCTCATGTATGCGTACACGTACTAATTAAATTTCGGTTGCATGTGGTCTCAACGTGCACACGCAATTCATACGTAATAATAATCAACACGAATATAGCAAATAATTTAATTAGATTAAAATAGAATAGAAAAGTAGTAGAAGAAGCAGACCCGGTATTATGGTGTTGGAAGCAGAGCTAAAGTCCACAAACAAGCAGATCCCTGTTGAGTGGAGGAGGTTTGGTCGCATGTTGAATCATCCACTGACCTGTTTGCCCGGTAAGAAGCTGCAGGTCGCCTAGCAGGGACGTGTTCTTACAGCCTACTAAGTACTCTGATAAAGAGTATGTGTACAGACTGTAAAGCCCTCTGAGGTAAATTTGTAATTTGCGATTTTGGGTTATACAAAATTAAAGGAATTGAATATAGACAGAAAAAAGTTTGATACAAGTTGATAAGAGTCAATTCTGTCATCATTTTTGTTGTGTTTAACCTTCCACCACTTGGGGGCGTAAAGCTGCTGACAATTACGCCTCTCAGTGAATGTAATCAGGATCACCAGGAACAGGTGGTGGTTGCAAACCGTTTTTGACGTGTAAAGCTATTTGATAATGTATGATAACCGGTGGTAACAAATGTTATGATTTTTTTTAAATTTTCAATACAATAAATGGTATTCTAGGTCTTCTATTTGGAAAAACCATAAATGACCAAATACTTCACAATACTTTTGTTGGGAATCAATGAGTTGAATGAATATATTCATACTGTATTAAAAGAAAAGCAGTAACATTTCTTCTGGTCCTAATACGGAGCATTAAAAAAATGAATGTCGCCTCTGAGAAATGGTATTAAATTAATTTACAAAGTAAAATTGATGTCTTTAGTTAACAAGAAACATAACACACACCTAGATTTTTTAAAATTATATAACAATTATGACTATGTTCATACTAAAGAAATCTACATTAAGTACACTTAATTAAATATTTGGTTTCTTCACCACAACCACATGAGGATAAAAGGCCCCTTTGTTCCTTTTACAAAGCGATCAAACAACCCATTTCAACAGTAAAATACATAAAAGCTGCGGTCTCATGTTAAAATGTTCTGCTTCTTTATTCTGAAATTATTTGACATCAACTTTAAATGTGTTGACGCATAATGGTTTTTATTTTTATTTTTAAATGTTTTTTTCCATGTATTTTAACCTTGCAGGGCGTAAATTGAATACAGTAAACATTAAAGACCAGTTACTCAAAAAGGGTCTTAACTGCAGGTAACACAACTAAGTGCTACGGTGCAAGTCATACTTTTTTCAGTTGTTCAAAAGACATAAAAATTCCTTTTTCAAAACTATCTTCTAAGTGCTGGATTCCTCTCATGCCAGGTCCCAAGAATTTTGTTATTTAAAGTAATAAGTAGAAGTTAATTTGGTCCAAAAGGTGTTTTGGGTGACCGTCTCATGTTCATTCCAATATCTTTGTGGACTTACAATATTTTAATGAAATGCTTTATGATATGATTTCCTGTCCTCTTGGGTTTGGAGTTCCATCTGTAAATAAAATCACTGGAGTTTCTTCTATCAAGGGATGGATTGCAATTTGTATCCAAGAGCACAAAATCATGATAGAAGAATGACGAGATGTATCGCATCGGGGCTGCTAGATAGATTTTTGATTACCCGACTTAAAAAAATAAACATATGGTTTTAAAAAGCAGCAAGTTCACTGCAGTTCCTTTAAAGAAATCAATCATTTTAATGTTTTTTTCATACCTTGTGCAATGATCACACAAAGAAACAGTGTCCTTCCGTGTGTTCCGTGACCGGTGATCATTTAAATGAGGAAATACACTTATAATAATTACATGTCTACAAAGTTTAATCAATCAAAGAATGAAAACCACATCACTTGTCTCCAGCTGTGTGAAGCTGCCCTGAGGCACTGTGGAGATTCTCACACAACGCTAACATGCTCAGATTAGTTTAGATGAATTATCCGAGAACCATACATATTTGTACAGAATTAGCTCCCAATTTAGCTGACATTTTTTATTTAAAATAGTTTAATCAGCAGAACAACATGAGAAGGAGCAGATTAAAAGTGTACAACTTCATTGCAGTAACACACAATACATAAAGTCATGTACTCTTAAAGAATACTTTCTTCATTTGAGAATTCATTTGAAAAGTAAGGAAAATGTCAGCTGTCCTTTTGAGCCCTGTTTCTGGAAGACTTCTCAACGTGATCTACTCAGCTACCTACATGTACTATTTACCTTTTCTTCATTTCATCCAACCCTCTTAATACTACTGTCACAGACCTACAGAGAATCATTCAAGCATTTCTGAACTTACTTACATATTTAACTTTCATCCCACTAACCGATCACTGACCTTTCTTTCCTTGGTCATAAGGGACGATATTGATTGAGTGATCACAAAGCTCCGTGTTGGTATGAATGTATGTATTTTAGCCCTGTATCTGTGTTTTATGTTTGGAAACTTTGAAGAATCATTTGTTTTACTCCTCAGATGAGTGTTGAGTTCATGCATTTGGTTTCTTCTGATGTCAATCAGTCTTTATTTGATATATATCTCTGAAATATCTGTTCAACAAAGCAGCCAAGAACATTCACTACCAACTGGGCTGAAACAGGTGAGGTGAAAAGTAATCAGGGAGTCTGGATGACATATTACAATATATTTGCATTCACACATACTGTACATTATTAAATCCAGAGTGTTCACTGCTGATGACCTTCAGTGACACAGGCTTCATTTGGGGTTAAAGAACTGTTGAAAGTTGAGAAATTTCCCAGTAAACACAGCACTGGATCCAACAAAAAGTGACCCCCTGTGATCCTAGTCAAGGTGTAACCTTACCGTACCTTATGCAATGATCACACAAAGAAACAGTGTGTGTTCCGTGACAAGTGATCATTTAAATGAGGAAATACACTTATAGTAATTACAGGTTTACAAAGTTTAATGAATCAAATAATGAAAACCACATCACTTGTCTACAGCTGTGTGAAGCTGCCCTGAGGCACATGCTCAGATTTTCTTCATGACCTTCAGCGACACGACACAGGCTCCTTTTTGAATAGAAAAGCAGAATCTTTCCACAGAAGAGGAGACACACCAAAATGACTGAAAAGACCTCATCATCAAAGAATTTACGCATTTATGTGTTGAGACACACACACACACACACACACACACACACACACACACACACACACACACACACACACACACACACACACGCACACACGCACACACACACACCACCTTACTGTAAAAAGTTTTTAATAAAATGCTGGGGATTTTTTATTTTACAGTTTGTCATCTTGACAAATATAAGTATAGGTTATATAGGTAGACAAATATATTAATTGACAATCAATCCCGCAAAAAGAGCTTTTTAAAAAGTTGTTAATTACAGTAAAAGCATTGCTTTACTTTAAATATATATGTATATATTGCGAAACGTTGACTTCAAAATGATTTTGGACTTTGGAACTTGACAGTGCTCTTCAGTTAGTTTGGATCCCACAAGTCCAGAAATTGTGTGTGTGTGTGTGTGTGTGTGTACTGTATATGTGTGTTTATATGGCCTCTATCAAATGTATTTGTTCCACAGAAATTCCCTGATCACGATAAGGCACATGTGTTGTGCGGCTCGCCAGATTACTTTGAGAATAATAGAAAGGTGCCCACATGGTTGCTTCTGACAGACGAGAAGCCTGTTGTGTGTTTTTTTTTATTTTTTTATTTTTATATAGATTACTTCTCCTCCTCAATGGATTCCCCCTCCCACCCTCACTCTTCTCCATCCTTCCATTTTGGTGAAAGTCACCTGCTCAACTGCTGCATCTCATGATGCTTAAACCTGATGGTGTGTCTACAATTAAGCAATCTTGTGTTTGCGGACCTGGCGGTTGTGTTTAACCAGTTGACGATGAGTGCTTTGGAAGGAAGTGACATCTTGATTTACTTCTGTGTGCAATGTATATAAGTGTGTTTAGTGTTTTGCAAACAGTGTGAGGCTGACATTGTGCTTGTAGTGGTGCAAATCTGGGCCGAGTTTTGCTCCTTGATTTGGATAATTGTGTAATACTTTGATTTTAGGGTATATTCAATCGTCTAACTATGAATCTGTTTTGATTTGTAAAAGTTGAGGCAGCTGATTCTTTGACATTTTATTGGTTGGAGGGGAAGTGTTTTGGCCGCGGCGTTTTGGGAATCAAAGAACAAAGGAAAAAAGCATCACTTGTTATTCTGAGGCATAGCGGTGTTTTGTGCTCAATGTTAACTTGTTCACATTCGTTAGCATGAATTATGCAGGAACCATAAATGTCTGCACAGAATTAGCTGCCAATTCATCTGACATTTAAAATATTTTAATATGAGGAGATTAATCTGTAACATTTCATTTCAGAAAAGACAAAAGGTTTTCATGCCACGAGGAAGTGTAAGATCTGTAGTCATTGAAGAACATTCAAGTAGAGACCTGTTGCAATAATGAATGTCAATAATCAATGGCCAACATTGTGCACAGACATTCATATACATTTGTTTTACGCTGACGTGCACAGACCGTGAAACTATGTACAATGCTACCAAGATACTGTCTCGACTCTCGACCTTTTGGACACACTAGTAGACTAATATCCAACTTAAAGACTTGGGCCTTTTCCTCGTATGTGACTGAGTGAGCCAGATCATTTTCAGGATAATATTACACAGATCAAGCTTTTCGGGTCACCGAAGAAAGTTTGGCTAAATCACCATAGCAACACATCCAAAAACTTGAACCTCCTTTGGTGCAGGTTCATTTGAGCCAGCGGGATTAGTTCGCCTCTCCCGGAGAAAAAGGGCAGCTCTCTTCCTCAGTGATGAAGGAGCGTTATCAGTCAGATTAACGTTTTATAGAGAGAGAGTTCTCTGCCATCACAAAGATCCGTTATGACATCACTTCCTGTACGAGCTCTATCGATGCTGAAGACAGGAATCATTGTCATGACCCGGCTCAAAGGAGATGACAAAACCGGGAGAGACGCAGTGCAAAGCCGATATAAAAATATATTTATATTATATAGCTTGATGGAATCACCTCAGAGAATCACACAATGACGTCACAGACATGAACCAGTAGGCCTATAGGCAGGACCGTCACACATTTATCTACAAGAAGACCTTCTGGAGCCGTGACGTTACTGCAGTGTCCCACTCACTGTCTCTCACACACTGTCTCTCATACTGTCTCACACATTGTCTCTCATACTGTACATGTTTGTACAGTGTTGTGATGCAGAGAACATCTGGAAAGCCGCTGCATGTCCACCTCCTCGGCCTGTCCCTCGAGGGACACGAGTATCAACATGACTTGGAGGAGAGGTTTCCTTTTAAGGTGACATATTCTCCATTCGACAGCCGTGTTTCAGTAGGACAAAAAAAGATCAACATGGTGATCTTACTAAAACAGCTTTAGATGACAGAGATCTAGTATTTAAGATTCCACCTTTAATATTCCTTTTTGTGGCACTATTGCGTCATTGGTTTCAACTTTAATTGTTTTGTTGGGACGTTGTTTGTTTGGACCTGATTTAAACGAACAAAATTCCTCACCTGTTCCTTCACATCCTCCCTTTGGATTTTCTCCAAGTTTGATGGAAAAAATGAAAAACCAGCAGGGGGTGGGGACACATGATTCTGTTCAGTCTGAAGAGTTAGAAACAAGAGCTTTCTGTTGCTTCTTCCAGGAAGCTCAGACAAAACGTATTGTATTCTGCTGAATAAGTTGCGTCAGTACTTAATAGTGTGCAAGAACATGTGATCAGGTCGTTCAATTAATCAAATTGTTATTTTCCTTCAATCACTTTTTTCAGTAAGTGAAGCGCAAGTTCAAATATTTGATCACATGTATTTATTGCCAAAATCAAGATTAAAATTTCATCTTCAAGAATCCTTAAGTTTTCAGCTCAAAGTTTTGTCAGTCAGTATGCATTAATGTTTGTTTACGAGAAGAGAAAAAATACAGTAAAATAGTTTTCAACTGATGCATTACTTAATGCTTCCCCTCTATAAATGTTTGAAGACCAAAAAAGATACTCAACATCTTCTAAAACCAACACATTGATCTAAACATCTAGCTTGTACAATGGGTGGTTTCTCAATCTACTCATATCTTTAAATACACATTCCTTATTCAGTTGATGGAGACCTTGTTTCAAAATAAAATTGTTCATATAAAAAAAAAATGTTACACCTTCATCTATTGTAATAAAATAATTGCAATCACTTTCAAATAAACCAGATTACCCCATCAGCCGAAAACAAATATAATGTACAACAATCTTGTTAGAACAATGCAAACAAAGTTCTGTCGTTGCAAAACAAATTAAATATTTGGCAGTTCATTGTGGCTGTAATTAAACTGTTTTACACTGCACGGGGAAAAGAAAAATGAATTCAAGCAGATATGTATGGACAATCTCATACTGAAACACATTTTAATTAGTTTAATTAGTGGCTGCAATGAGTCTGCTTTCCACTACAAATCCTTTCGGAACAGGATTATAGACTTGATACTCAATTAATGCTCAACGTTGAGCTTGTATCTGTGTTTTGTTTTGAAAGAGGCAACAGCAGTCCATGTACTTTGTACTGTAGTAAGATGGGAAGTTCTCAATAACGTTCTTTAACTAAAATAATTTGGAATTTACCTATTTACCCCACCTGTAATGCACAGGCAAAAATGTAAAAAGCCATGGGTTAAAAATGTAATGTAAGTCGCTTTGGATGAAAGCGTCAGCTAAATGACCTGTAATGTAATGTAACATGAGAAAAAGGAGACAAAGTGTAGTGATGAGCTGCAGTTGCTCATATTTAACTTTTCTGGTCTCATTATTCCTCTGTTCTCTACAGAAGTGTTAATGTGTTGGGCCTGTTACGTTAAAGCGGAACTGCACACTAAAACAGGATTTTGAGCAGGTGACTAAATGGTATAATTGTTCTCCGTTTAACTTTATATTAAATCATGATGATCATCCTTAATGCCCTCTAGCCACAAGTCACAGGGTTAGAAATGAGGATGTTTCACAATGCTGTGGTGGGTGGAGTTGGACTCATACCTTGAGGGGATATTACACAATATTAAGATTCTGCAGGAGTAACACCTGAAGGCGTGTCATGTGCAGAGTCTCAGCGGAGGCTCTCCGACAGGATAAAAGCAGCCGGACGACATCACAGATCATCACTCTGGAAGCTCCAGCTGAACGACCAGGAGACTCTCACAAGACTCTGATCATCACAACTTCCCCAGGTGAGGACAGAAAGAGACAGGTGAACATTTACTGCTTAACTGATCTGCAGTCTGTGCAAAGATATCGGTCTTTATGTTGAGTGAAGGTGAAGAGTTGACTCTGTGTTAAAAACTCACAATACTGTAATATGTAAATATTTTCTCATCAGGTTGGTGAAATGGCCTCAAATCAAATGGAAGTTGCTTCCCTGGGTCGACCTTTCACCCTCGGAATGCTCTATGATGCTCAAAGAGATGCACTGATCACAGGTAAGTCTGGATTACACTGTTAATAAAATGATCTACCTGTATAATTGTACTGAAATCCTTTTGCCATTTAATCATCTCCTTTCTTCTTCTCATTAATTTTTCCCTATTTAAGGAATTATCGAATGCTTTTTAGTTCCACAATGCAGCTGTGAACCTCCATTAGTTTTTAGGAAAGCATGCTGTATTATTAGCTAATTATCCTAATCGTAAAAAATTATTTCTGTATATAATTCTGTATTCTGTATTATTTCTGTCTGTTACAGTTTGCTTAAAGGGACTGAAATCATCTTACTATTAAATCCTCTTTTTTTTAACATTATATTTTAACAATTTAAGGAATTAACAAATGTTTTTAGTTAGTTAGTTGTTAGAGCTGTTTTTATTAGCTGATTATCATGTAATTAATTAGACAATTGAACTTTCAATTCCTGGTCAAAGGTGTCTTTGTTTCTTGCTCTTTTGGAATCAAACAGTTTGTTAGCTGGCTTTGTATTATGGGGCATCCAACTGACTATTACTTCACAAAATATCTAAAAGAATAGTATATATAATGACAAGTACCCACCCTTTATTCGGTTTTCATTCTTCCCTTCTGTCATAGGTAGTCACGTCTTTCTTTCTGTATATGTAAATTCTTTATTTTCACAAAATGATCCTCCTGCTTTGTGTTTTCTACTTTTTAAAGGTTTGACCTTGTGGGATGAGAAAACTCTACAAGGGAAGACGATTAAAAATCCTAAACCCAGCAGTGAATTTGTCATTACTGATTCTGACACCATTGAATCAAAGTCCTCTCTGCTGGATGTTAATGCTTCTCTGAAGGCCAGCTTCCTCTCTGGGCTGATTGAAGTGGAAGGATCTGCTCACTACCTGAAAGATGAGAAAGAATTCAAGAATCAGAGCAGAGTGACTAGTGAGTACAAATCTACAACCCGCTTGGAACAGTTGTCAATAACTGACCTGATGACCTTAGAAGATCATCAAAAGGACGTCATCAACAAGAGCTCTGCAACACACATAGTGACAGGCATCCTTTATGGGGCCAATGCTTTCTTTGTGTTTGACAGTGAAAAGTTAGACAGCAGCAGCGTTCAAGAAATCGAGGGCAGCATGAAAGCTATGATGACAAAGATCCCCTCATTAAGTCTTGAGGGAAACGTTGAAGTCAAGCTGAATGAGGGAGAAAAAGCCCTGAGTGCTTCAGTGTCCTGCAAATTCTTCGGAGACTTCATCCTTCAAAGCATCCCTTTAACATACGAAGATGCAGTGAAGACCTTTGGAGAACTTCCACAGTTACTGGGGGAAAATAGAGAGAAAGCTGTCCCAATGAAGGTCTGGCTGATGCCATTGACTACTTTATATGGAGATGCTGCTGAGCTCAAGAGTGAGATCAGCGGTGGACTGTTGGGGAAGATACAGCATACTCTTGAAGATTTGAGGGAAATCCGAATGAGAAGCAACGAATCTCTTAAAGACAGAGTGGTACAGAACATTCCACATATTACAGAAGAGTTAGACAATTTCCAGAAGTTGTGTCACCTCTATACATCAAACCTCCAGGGGACCCTGAAGGAGAAACTCCCCTCCATTCGTGAAGGTAAAGAAGATGAGAGCTCACTAGAAAAAACCATTGACAACAGAAACGAGTCCCCATTCAGTCAAGAAAAACTACTCAAGTGGCTGAATAATAAGGAAAGAGAAATCAACATCATCAAATCCTGTGTGGAGACCATGGAGGGAACAAAGATTGTCAAAAATCAGTCCGAGCTCGACAGAGAGGTTCTTGATGGAGATGTAGACAATGCTTACTGCTTTGTTTTCACCTCCACCAAACGGGGCGACACTTACCTTGATGAGATGGCCACATATTTGGGCACTCCTATAAAGGGGAGCACCACTGAAGACAAGTGGTTCTACTCAGAGGAAGTCTGGACCTCTCTGAGACAAAAAGCCAAAGCTTTCCAAGACTTCAATAAAGCAGAGAAGGACAACAACCGGTTCCGTTTCCTTATTGCAGTCATTCCAAATGAGAAATACAAAGGAGCAACAATCTACCATTTCAAGAAAGGCATCCTGCTCAGCGAAGATTTCTCAGGACCTGACCTTGATCCTGAGAAGATCATAGACAGAAGAGTTCTGACTTGGTGTAAGTGTATTCATGCTTTAAAGTCAAATACACTGATCTGATCAATATTTTGGCAGAAAATATGAACCTGAATTTGTTTGCTTCTCTCCATCAGATGCCTGTGATCTCACCCTTGACCCAAACACTGTCCAGAATAACCTCGTTCTGTCTGATGGAAACAAGACGGCAACACGTGGATCAAAGCAGCAACAATATCCTGATAACCCAGAGAGGTTTGATAAACAGACACAGGTGTTGTGCCAAGAGGGTTTAAACGGGTGCCATTACTGGGAGGTAGATTGGGATAATGCTTCTTCTTTCAAATCTATTTATGTAGCTGTTGTGTACAAGACCATAACAAGAAAGGGAGATGGTTCAGATAGCGAATTTGGAAATAATACCCAATCGTGGACTTTTGGCCAGTGGAAAAAAGATGGAGAACACGAAGTATCTGCATGGCACAATGGAAAGGTGTGGCAAACTTCTTTTCCCTCTGGTGGCTGCTCCACACTCGGTGTGTATCTGAACTGGCCTGCAGGCACTCTGTCCTTCTACAAAGTCTCCTCCAACACACTGACACACCTCTACACCTATCGCACCACCTTCACTGAGCTCGTGTTCCCAGGCTTCTGGGTTTACGAGGAGGGAAACTGGGCCTCCCTGCGTCCTTTTAATTAGGACCAATGCTGGTGACTTGTTGGATCCTTGGTCTGTTAATAGAGGGACGGGGTTACAAGTAAAGTTTTAAAGGTAAAAAGGCATCACATGTTCCATTGAACTTGTTTTAACAAATCCAAAAGTGTAAAATACATTTAAAAACAAAATGTATAATTTTCTGGTGTCTACTTTTTCAGCTGATGCAGACCCTGCTTTAAACTCAGATTGAACTGATTTGTGAATCCCATTTTAATTTCTATTCTTACTCCTTTTAGAGCTTTGACAACACTAATGTTCAAAAGCTAATGTCAAAACCTGTGTAACTACTTTGTCATTTTGTAAATGGTCAACTGGGCTTTGTACCAATTATGTACCTTAATTCTGACCAACTTTAATAAAGTACTCTCCTGCAATGTTTCAATGTGTATACTTTTGTAGAAGTAAATGTTTTATGTTTAAATGAATTTCATTCCTTTCATATTATCTTTGTATGTCTGTGTCTAACAGTAACTCCTGTGCAGACAGAAACTATTTTACATCAACTAACACATCTTTTAGGTTTGTGTGAAGAGAACACAGACCTGTAAGAGCTCCCAGCTCAATGAATCAACTTTTCAAAACACACTTCATGGAGCGCATATAAATCACCTATAAAAGACACGAGTCAGGCTCTAAGACACAACATGATCTGACAACAAACACACATCCTGAGTGATGATGGTTTCAGGGTCCATTGTCCTTCCTGAGAAGTTGAACACAACCAACATCTATTTCTTAAGTGTTATTTACTGTTCTCTATTTAATAACAGCAGAGTAAAATGTACTGTATTTATTACAATCACATTAATTAGGAAGAGGAACTTATGACCTTAAGCTCCAGTTTGTATGTATTCAATTGAAAAACCCTTTTATCCGAAAAGTGAATAAACACCTGATTCTCAAATGTAAGTGTGTGCACTGTAAAAAGGTTAACCGTTTCAGCATTGTTCTAGGCAAGGTAACTAAAACCTGCAAAATGTTTAACTGCCCAACTATTCAGTTCAGAGTAGGTCATACAACATCATTCAGTTGACTCAACTAAGTAAGTAGTGTGGTGTGAAAATGCATCCAACGCTCTGATGGAACTGTTTCTCAGACAGGAAGACCGGGCGTCACCTCTGCTGCCGAGGATAAAATCATTAGAGTTACCAGCCTCAGAAAGCTCAGATTGGAGACCACATAGATTCCTCACAGTGCTCAAGTAGAAAACACACCTCGACAATAACTGTTCAGAGGAAATATAAATCAAATGCAAGTCAATTAGTGTAATGAAAGTAGAAAGCAGCAGAGAACGGTGGTAAGTGAAGTTGCAGCTCAGAACTTTTGCTCACATGTATTTATTCCCAAGATCAAGAATAAACTTTCATGCTCAAGTACTAATAAAGTGTACACTTAAGTAGTGAGCCCACACTTAAACACATCGCCTCATAAGATCTGCAAATCTGGCTTATACTATTGATGGTCTCTCAGACTACTAATAGCTCACTAATAAGTAGATCAAGTGCCAAAAGGCTGCACAGTGAAGCTCGAACATCCAGATGTTGTGATAATAAGCAGTTTTGAAATGTTGACTTTAAAGATCCAGATTTCTGAGCACTGCAGCCTTTGGCGACCTCTGCTGGTAATATCAGACAAAGCAAGGACACAATGCATACTGACAATAATGACGTGATCCATAATGAGTGATTGTAGCATGCCGTTTACTTATAAACTTTTAAACCCCAATAAATACAAACAGATAGATAATTAGATTGTATGGTTATACTGATTGGACTGCGAGAATAGAAGGATATGGGTTCTTTCAGGGCCTTTTTAGCCACTAGAGGCACCTTGGTGGCTCTGGAGTGACACGAGAGTTCGTAGCAGGAGCAATCAACACAGCCCACCATCTCCATCCAGCCCTAAAAGAGAGAAACAACTGGTCTTTACTCGCATCCAAGTTCTCATTCCATATCTGTGAATAAAAGAAAAAAAGATTAAAGGAATTGTAAAGCTGTAAATGTTCTCTGACTCATTTCATTAAGCCGTCACTGGAAAATGCGTTCTCATTTTTTTTATTTGCCCCTCTGAATATCCTCATGTTCCCATCATCTGAACGCCGTCTCTGTGAACTCATAAACGTTATGGCAGTCTGATTCAATTCTTAACCATTTTCCACCAACTTAAATAGGATTCATAGCAGTGTATTTCCCCTTTTGATCTCATGAAAACGCGTGTTTTGAATATATCTAATACTACCTCACTTTACAACATGGATCGAGTCTTCAGTGTCCCTTTACTGCCAGTAGGGGGCGGTATTGGATGAACTTTGTGTTAACTTTTTGTCGCTCAAAATTAAGATCAGAGTCTGTTTTATTTCTCATGTATGCGTACACGTACTAATTAAATTTCGGTTGCATGTGGTCTCAACGTGCACACGCAATTCATACAATGAACACGAATATATCAAATAATTTAATTAGATTAAAATAGAATAGAAAACACCATCCAACCACTGCTGCTGAGTGAGAAGCTGCGGTTGTGGGGGTGGACTCGTCCACCGTCTCCTGGATCACTGACTACCTGACAGACAGGTCACATCTCGGCGTGAGATATAGGTCTCTGGGGCCAGTCCCCCCGGGTCCCCCTGCAACATAGCTGCTGGGTCACATGACTAACGAAACACATCCTGCACATGGTCAGAATCCACAACACTTGCTTCTTCCAGTATGTCGTCATATGGGACTCTAGTCAGTCGATGCGGCACTTTCGGCTGGACAATAAGCTCGCGACTGAGTGTAACAGGTGTTTGACTCCACTTGCCATCGCTAAGAGTCATGACAGGGTGTCACGTGGGTGCCCTCTAGTGGGTCCCTGCGGACGTGGGTGCGACACCCTGTAGCTAAAAAGTTAGTCTGCTGCAGGGTGTGTAACTGTTATGATGCCACGAGGTTCCTTCTGAGAACTTAACTTGTGTGTGTTCGCCAGGTGTCTTAACGTCACACAATAAACGGCCGATACGAGCCGAATGTGGTCCGTGTCCTGGTGGTGATTTTAACAACACAACGCAAGCAAGAGTACAACCGCTACATGAGGGCGTCAGCAACCACATTTTTAGGGCCAGGAATGTACTTGATTCGAAAGTCAGTTTAGTGAGAATGTAGGTCAGCGGGTTGTTGTCAGTCCACGCAGTGAACGGCTGGCCTTTCAACCAATGACTGAATTTGTCACAGACAGCCCATTTCAGAGCTAGAAACTCTAGCCTGTGTGCAGGATAACGTGACTAGGCATAATTGAGAGATTTTCTCGCAAAATCCACCGGTCGTGCCACGTCGTCGCCCTCCGCCAGGCCATTGGATGAGGCATCAACGGACAGCAGGAATGGCTTACTGAAGTCGGGATGAGCCAATGTCGCATTTTCCAATAACGCCTGCTTCAACTTAGAGAAGGCTTCGCTGCATTCCGGGCTCCAATCAGCCAACGTTAGCTTCTTAGCCACAGGTCTCTTCTTACAGGTGGTATATTTTCGGCTTTGTCACGCCAGATGTTAAGGTAAATAGAGGCTTGCTGATACTTGAGTATGCTTCAAAGAATTGTTGGTAAAACCCAATCATCCCAAGGAAGGATCTTATGGATGGTGAGGGAATGTTGGTCCTCTCATCTATCAAATCCTTCTCACACAGATCCACAATAGCCTTAACCTTCTCTGGATCCGTGGAGATGCCATCCTTACTCACAATGTGTCCCAGAAACTTTACAGACGGCTGCATGAAATGGCACTTCTTTGGCGCTAGTTTTAGGTTATGCGCCTTTAGCTTCTCAAACACCATTTCTAGTCTCTGCAAAGCTAACTGTTCATTGGGAGCAAAGACAAGGATGTCATCCAGATAGCACAAGAGGCTTAAGGAGTTTTGGTCACCAAAAATGGCCATCATCATCCTCATGAAGGTGGCCGCCTGTTGTATTCATACAATCCAAAAGGAGATGTGAATGCAGTGAACTTCTTATCCTCCTCATGGACCTCCACATTGTAGTATCCAGAAGTCAAGTCCATGGTCGAGAAGAAAGCATTCCCCCCAAGGGCAGCCAAAGCATCGGCCTGGTGCAGCAGAGGATGTGCATCCTTCACAGTGCGTGCATTCAGCCATCTGAAATATGTGCAAAGCCGCAGATCTCCGTTCTTCTTCCAAACAAGAACAACAAGAAGGTGATGTATACTCCCTCATAGACTTCCTTATGATCTCCCGCTCCTCCATCTCATTCAAGGCCATCCTCAACTTATCATAGTGTGAGGGCGACAGGCGACGATACGGTAGTCTGAAGGGTCTGCTATCACTCTGCCGAATCCGGTGGACAAAGTCTTTGGCTCTCCCACAGTCCTAACTATGACGTGAAAAGATGGATTCATACTTGGCCAGCAGATGAACAAGTTTTGTTTTCCAGAATGAGGACAGGTCACTTGAGTCAACATTAATGTCTTGCAGTCCCAAGTTGTTGAGCACCGAGCTCCCAAACCTGTGTGAAAAATGATCAGAACCAACTGATAAGCTCGTTTCACTGCCGGTGCTTGTCTGGGAAACAGTCTTAGTCACATTGCTATTTACGTAGTCTGTAAACATCAGCAATCTTACAGTTGCGTTTCAATGTCGCTGGCTTATTGGAAGGGTTACATTACATTATTACCGTACACGTCATTTAGCTGATGCTTTTAACCAAAGCGACTTACATTACACTTTAAACCCATGGCTTATACATTTTTGCCCAGGGAGCAATTAGGGGTTAGGTGTCTTGCTCAGGGACACTTCGACTTGAGACATGGGGCAGCCGGGACTCAAACCACCAACCTTGCGGTTCCCAGACACCCGCTCTACCCCCTGCGCCACTCTTACAGGGACCCATCCATCCCCTCACATCGGCGTCACAATCCGTCCCACCATGACTGTTGGACCGTGCGTGAGTTGCTCTGCTCCACTATGACTGTGCTGCCAGCTGAGAGGCAAGTATGGCTAGGAAGACAGCCCAAAACTAAATGTTCTTTCTAAGGATCCAGGGTCACAGCATGTTTAAGTTTAACAGTGCCCACCTTGTCAGGAACCTCACCACCTCTCCATTTCTCCACAGTGGTCAACATCTGCAACAGGGCCCCCTCTTCACTAGAAGCTTGATCTGGGAGTGAAACTTTGGTCCAGAAATCTCCAGAAGCATTCAGCACACGAATGAGATGCTTTATCACATTGCTGCCAAGAATCAAGTCGTCGCTTTGGCCATCCACAATGAGTGTGGGAACAGAGATGTGACAGTCAAACACTTTCATCTGAAGCTCACACACTCCGGTTGGGGACCTCCTCAGACCTCCACATCCAATCAGAACAACAACAATCCGTCGAGCCAGAAAACTGA